TACTGTACATGTATGTGCACACCCCTAGTGTGGTTGATGAAAATTTACACCTGTTTTGCTTGAAAAGAAAATTGAATTTGTTTATAACAATTTGCTCTTTTCACGCTCCGCCATAGACATGCAGAGCCTCGATCTGTCAATTTTAAACAATGAAAATAGCCGGTTCAGTGATCTGAACCCCGACACGGGAATCACTGAACTGGCTATAGTCATTGTGTAAAGTTGCCAGATCGAGGCTGTGCATGCCTGTGGCGGAAGCGTGAAAAGAGCGAATTATGTGGTGCTCATAAAAGTTTACAGGAGCCAGTTCCATTAAGTGTACATGTACCTCATAAATTGTGTAGGCCTGCATGAACATGTGTACATCAAGTTGATAAGTGGTACGTAGGGGTGTACATGTACATGTGGGTTTACGGTATAAAATTGTCACTTGCACATGTGTACATACAGTACAGGTACCTTACAACAATGTTTGCAAGCAGATTTATACATTGAAGTTTTTTTTTCTACTTAAAACACTACTCCTTCCAGAAATTACATAGCACAATCACATGACTCATCATTGGCCTGCAGCTTCATTGGCCTGCAGCTTCCACAATCCAATCGAGCTTGTTTAGTACAATGTTGTACATGTACATGTACATGTACACAGGCGCGGTTCTACGGGGGGGCTAGGGGGGGGGGCTTTAGCCCCCCCAAAATTTTGTCTAGCCCCCCAAAAATAAATTCCGTAAAAAAAAAATTGCATTAGCAAAAAGAAGGATTGTGATGTACATGTACATGCGAACGGTCTCCCTAAAAAAAATAGTCGTGACAAGGGTGCATTAGTTAATATAGTGTCAATGATTTTAGGATTTTATTGGCGCTCCTCATTGAAAATATGGCATGAGGCCTCCCCCCCCCCCCCCCCCCCCCCCCACCTCTTGATTTTCGGAGGCCTAAGTGTCTGGAAAACACCGGTCCACATTTCAGCACGCCTCCCTGAAAAAAATTCTGGATCCACCCTGCTAGCCCCCCAAAAATATTGGTTCTAGAACCGCGCCTGCATGTACATGTATGTACGGTACTGTACATACATGTACATGTACATGCCTTGCATGTGTATACCGGTACATGTGTCAGTTGCTTTGAAAAATGCCACATTTCCATGTGTACACTACCGTACATGTGTATGTATGTGACCTGAATAAGGATGTACATTGTACATTATAAGAGTTCAAATGTCTTCAGGTACATGTACATCACATTGTATTCAGAAATATTGACAAAATAATATTGGCCTGTGGTTTTCCTCATAAAAGTATCAACTTTAAAAGCCCATTTTGACTAGAAATAGCAATGACAGCAATCGTCTGATGATGACGATGGTCTATGAGCAAACGTCTGACGGTAATCGTGAGCAATAACAACAACAACAATGACGACAGCAGAATCCTGTGGGATGTCCCGGCCCACTTTGGCCCACTTCCATCAGGTCAAGGTGAAAGCGTGTTACTGTGTACGAACTTCAGACTCTCGTGCAGTGTGTTGTGATGACAAATTCCACTGGCTTCACTACGCGGAGTACCGACTCTTGTTTTGTTAACTGGTATTGCAATATCATCAGCTTACGTCACTGATCCCTGTACATGCATGAGTGGACCATGGAGTGTCCTGCTTTATCATTACAGGGGGTGTCGACTCCTAGAGTTCACGCAAGAATTAGGACGTTGCAATGTATGCAATATAAATGATTTGCTACTGTTAGAGTTCTGCAATTTTTATGTAGACATCAATGGTGTGACAAGTGTCAAGCCTTATTTGAACCCTGTTTATTTTTTTCCGTCAAGAGGAAAATTTACATTCTAAATACAAAATGTAACATCACCTTTTTGGCATTAATTTGAATACATACATTGTTCATGCACTTCCTTTGATAGTGTTAAGTCATGAATAGATGGGCTTGGCTTTGTTGTGTGAAAGTTTGGGATGATCACATCATCATGTGACCATAACACTATTTTGTAATCAAAGAGTATTTCGTACAGACGGGACAATGTACATGTACATGTGTGCACATGTATACATCCATGAACATGTATGTTGTACATGTATGTGGATATGTATGTATGTTCATACATATGTACATATGCACAATAAATGCATGTACTGGTACATGTATGTGTACCTGGGGTATGCAAATTAAAAAAAATAAAAAATGGGAATACCATACCTACCGGTACATGCTGTTATTGCTGTATCAGAGTAGCATTAACATTTTATGAAGAAAAACAGATCAAAATGTAAAATGCAGCTGTTGCCGTATTTGTGAGTATTATTTTTATGATATACATTTAGGGCCTAAAAATGCAAGTTTTAGTTTTTGTGAATTTTATTTTAACGACCAGCATAAAAATATACGCTTTGTATCCCGATGCCAATTATTTTATCTCTTTTAACCCTAACTCCCAAAGAGTTCATTTGGGGTAAAAAATACAATGTACCACTACAAAGATTATATGCAGGAACCAAATACCAGAAAATACTATGAGTGCTGTGCCCACTTACATGCTGAAGTACTGCATACTACAGTTTACTACTTACTAGTAGTATTTTGTAGCTTTGGGTGAGGTTAGGGTTAAAAAGCACATTTTAATGCGCAGGTTTATTGCATTTTTACTCCACAAGTACCGTACATGTACAATGTAAATAAATATTTCAAACTGAACTGAACGCTAGATTTGTTTCTTGTCACTTAGACAATGGTGTGCCACATGTACATGGTTAGATACGTGTATGGTCTAAAACTAAAAGTTCTTCCATGGGTATGACATGTCAAATAATCCCTAGCTTTATCATCAAAATACATGCATACACATGTACCGGTACATAGTACATTTGTACATGTATGAATGTGTACATGTACATGTACCGGTACACATACCGGTACCGGTACATGTAAGTCCGGTCCATCTTCTTGAAAACCACATACATTTACTAGTCCAGCGGATATGTGAAAATTTTTTTGCACTTTTGCATACAAGCAACAGATGTTTATACATGTACATGTATACCGGTATGTAACATCAAATGTAAGATAAGTTACAGCATTAATTAAAACCTTCCTACTGATAGAACTGTCACAAACTGTCAAAAAACTCAACCCACTTCCTCTCCCATAGCTTTTGTACAGGCTGGTCTCCAACTTCCAGAACCCCTATGGATTAAACCATGTACATTGTACATGTACGTGTAGGCCTAACTGTCAAAACCTGTTGAAGGGGTAGATAGCGGTACATACCAGTAGGGTGTCCCTGAATACTGATACAACTTTTACTACAATTCCATAGACCTTATGCATAGCATGCGTAGCAGCCATTGCCAGGGCAATGCCTCTGTTTTGCTGGGGTATGCATGAGTGAACCTTTTGTGCCTTCATTGTTACTCAATTAAATCAATCATTACCAGGTACTCAGCAGTACTGGTAAACCTACTTATACCCACCATATCTATTATTATAACACCTCACCCACAGATTCTGTGTCTTGATTGGCCGAGAGCGAGTCACATGTTACTTTCTAATTTTGCTATCTTTCTGTGCACGGCCAAAAGTACTATACCCGTAGCAACCAAAGTACTATACCATTGGCAACCAAAGTACTATTTCCACGGCGCGGTATTTGTGTGCAAATGGATGCTTGTGTGCGTGTTGCGCGTAGCGCGTATTGTTCCAAAGAGAGCGCGCCGCAGACTTTGGTTCAAACATTTCGTGAAGGGGTAGTTTGGAAGAGAGAAATACATTTTCCACCAATTTTGTATTGAAATTGAAGTTTATTTCAACTGTGTTCAGATTTAAATAATTTAAAATATTAAAATCAAGCAGAATCTGTGGGTGAAATATTGAATGCTTTATCTCGTGGTGAAGTAAAACTAGCCTCCATGGACCATTCTATTTTCCCTCGGCTTCGCCTCGGGAAAATAGAATGTCCATGGATCACCTCGGGAGGCTAGTTTTACTACACCACTCGAAGCATTCAATATTTGTATACTGTCAGTCAAGGCATGGTACCTTCAGTTGACAAAATTGCCACAGCCTGTCAAATTTACCAATAAGAGCCAAATTTACAAAACTGTTAAAAACTGTCACTTGCTAGATGTTGACAGATAGGGCATTCCTCTCTGTTTTGTCACTGAGAGGGGGGAGGGTGTTAAGGTAGAATACATAATGAAGGATTGATTGTGCCTGTGGATGTGTCCAGCTGCTGTCTATTCCCAAAGGTGTATTTAGGTTGATAGCTGTATTACTATTAGTACACGTATGTACACACAGTAATCGTTTCCATGAACTGGGCTTTGAGTGCATGACTGATACAAGCTATGCTTCCAAGAATCCTGTTTGCCTGCTAGAGACGCATTGTATTTTAATAAGATGTACTGATGTGTTGACCCTTCTGAATCAGATGAGTAACACATCAGATATACATGTACATGTACTTGTACATGTACCTCGGATTTCTGTAATACAGTGAAAATTGACATAATTGAAATAGTTGAAAATCAGATGAGTACGGGGGGGGGGGTGTATTTTTTTGGGGGGGGGGGGGAGATTTCGTGAAGATTTACATGTACATACTAAAGATTTACATTGTACACATCCTGCGCATGGTATTTGAGCTTTCCAGGCACGGTTCCAAGTGTGATTTCAAAAAGCAAGGATTATATTGTAGACTTTGAACCCCCTCCCCCCCAAAAAAAGTGATAATTCCTGAGAGTGTGTTGTGGACAAATGCAATGTACATGTAGGTCTCCCAAATTTCAAAAATACCAAAAATTTTCAAAAAAAAATATTTTGAACAATTTTCCATTTCAAAAATAACATCCCGCCTCCTGCTATCTCCTATTCAGAATGCTAAACTGTTGGTGTGATTAATTGACCCTGCGATATTTTGAGGCTGTGTTCAGGCTAACAAAGATGCCGAATATAGTACATAATTTACTACTTTTTATTCTTCTCATTTCAGGTTTTGTTTGCAGCCTGTGCAACGAGAGCAAAGACACAGCCGTAGCCCAACTCTTGTCCCATCTGCCCCTCCTGCGGCCCGGCAACAACGATGTCAAGCAGGAGTACCTCAACCTCATCCCCAAGATCCTGCTGCACTCGGTGGAGAACTCCCAGCACCTGGAAGAGAGTCGGCAGGTCTTGTCGTTCCTCCTCATCCACCCGGCGCTGTCCAACGAGGACCGGAGTTCGCTGGCGTGGTGGCTGGGCCGACTGGAGGAACATACCAACAGCCAGGCTGGATTCCCCTCAAGGCTCCAAGTCTCGCCCGATCTGTCCCCCTCCCAGTCCCCTTCCCCGTCCCCCTCTCCATTCCCGGGGGTACTGAACTCAGACACTGGCCGCAATGGCCTCCAGGGTGGCTTGAACGGTTGGCGGGCTCAGCCTTCTTTCAGGGACTCAGGGGCAGTAGATTTTTCCCCCTCGTCACATTTTCTGGGCAGCTGTGTGCCCCACCAGCCCCTAACGAATACGCTCTCAGCACCCCCGGCTGTGAACGTTACCGGCCCCTCCAACGATGTAGCAAGTAAGTACTTCTCAAGTAAGTACAAACAACTCATTCTCCATATTTGAAAAGATGATAAAAAGGAAACATGTTTACTGTATATTAATGGGGACACTTACAAATGTAGAATCTACATTTGTAAATAAGCTTACTCAATTTGTAGAACTGTAAGTTAGTCAAACATAATAACTTGGGAAAAACAGGAATTACCCATCCCCCATTTAGCTTCATACTTGTATCATGGCTTAAGGAGAAAAAAATGAATCAGTTATCCATAGGTTTCTGCAATAGTTATTAACCCCAATCCATCCACATCCTGTTAAATTCACCTGATGGTTTTGAAGTTATGGTAGGAACGGGAAGGTACAGTGTGGCTGTAATGTCTTTTACATAAAACTGGAAAACGATTCTGATATGTGCAAAAAAATGTGGAGGATTTCGTAAGATGCAAATTCATTTGTGAAGAATGTTCTTGATGTATTAGCTAGGCAAAGAAACATTGCTAGATGTGTAAGTTTTGTCCAAGACTAGTACAATATACATGTAGCTCTGTTAATTTCAGACTCTGGTTTTGTAAGTAACCACTGACTGCCAAAAGTGAAGTACCGGTACCGGTAAGTAATAGTGGTTGGTTGCTGTTGCTGCACCTATATCAGATTCAAACCAGCCAGCCAACCAGTGGCCAGTTCGGTGGTCGAGTGGTACGACATCTGCACTCACTAAGCAGGAGGTCCTAGGCTCGAGTCTCATCCGAGTAAGCTTGTGAATTCTTGCAAGCCTTCGAACAACACTGGATGCCGTGAATCAGTTTAGGGCAAAGTCAAATATTAAATAACCACTGGTATGTTTTTGTCAATTTGTGATTTCCTTCCCTTGCAGGTTCCCACGCCGGCCCCTCGTTACCCATGCACCCGCGCAAGAGCCGCAGCCACTCCCTGACCCCGCCCAATTCCTGTAGCAACACCCCGTCCCCTCAGCCGCCCTCGGATTGGCCCTCCGAGGAGGAGCTTGAGCCTCGGACCAGCCGCTCGCTGTCCTTACCCCTGGAGCACGCACCGCTGTCGCCCCAGAGCAGCACGGCGTCGTCGGGCAGCAGTACCGAGGCCCACGGGGAGGACGGATTGTGGTGTTACGGAGGCGGTCATCAGGCACTCCAGAAGAGGAACAGTTTCCTTGAGGAGAACAGCGGCATGAGAGGTGAACTTTGATTTTGAAGAACTGCTAAACAGAAGGAAAACAAATGTGCTTGGCAAATTTCTTTAGCAAACCAATAATGGGTTTGGAATATTCAGAAGCAATCACCCATGTCATTTTGGTCCGTAATTTAACCAGTAACTGCCAGTTTATTTCCATACATTTTTATAATCCCGTTGCATGGTCTTTGTGGTTGGAAAATTTCATTAAAAACATTATTTTTTGTGTGCTTCGCAAATTTGTTTGCTTAAAGCCTCCATGAAAATTAAAAAAAAGAAATGGGCATTTTTTCAACTCTTATCCATCAACTCCACTGAGGTTGAAAGACACTCTTCAACTTTTAATTTTGCAATAAATAGAGTTTTGCAACAGTATATTTGCTTAAAACCTCTATGAAAATAAAGAAAGAAATAGGCATTTTTTTCAACTCAAGATTGTCCATCAACTCTACTAAGATTGAAAGGCACTCTTCAACTTTTAATTTTGCAATAAACAGAGTTTTGCAACAGTTTATTGCGCAGCAAAATGCATGGCTGAGTAGAGTTCACTGACATGCAGCAGGCATTTGGAACAGGATATTACACAACGAGAGTGACAACCATCAAATTTGAACCAATAGAAAGAGATCCGCTGAAGCAATCAGAGACAACCTCGTGTGACACAATTACACAATTCCGTTCCGATTCAGGAAATTTGGAAATCGTGCCCAATTCAGAGGAAATAACCTGTTAATACTTCCCCTCGGAACTCCCCCCCCCCACCCCATCCCCTTCACTTTCTGTAATCCTGGTTAATGACACAGTGTCGCTTGGCCCATCAACAGTGGACAGATCTCGTGACTGGCTTAATGAAGCTGGGCTGATGTCCAAAAGGATTGAGCATTCAGGAAATGAATGGGATGAATGATACTTGTTTGACAGGTGGTCCAGAAAGAACAAGAAAACTAGTCCAGGGAAAGCGGGCACAAAAACTCTGTTCTCGGGTATTGGGAGCACTGGCCAATCAAAGTGTGAAACTAGGCTGCGGTGGCCGGTTGCCTGAGGCCATGCGGTCATGTTGATGCTGTCATCTGACCCTTGTGGTCAGTCTGACTTGCAGCTCTTGTGGGGGGGGGGGGGTCTTTGCACTTTTTGCATTGACCGCTTAACTCATGGGATCAGGGGCTTGTTTCACTGAGTTGCCTAACAGTTTAGCAGAAAAATTTGTGCTCTCTCAAAGAGAAACTTTCTGCTTACCTTGAGCATACATGGATGTCACAGTTCTGACAAGTCAGCACTTGTACGTAGCCTGACATATCTACTACATTTATGTTAGTACTAGGTGTATTAATTTGTGATTCTCCAAACAAATGTGTAGATGGTTTGTCATATCGCATTACAAATGTACGTGTGCGTGTAAAACTCATCAAATATGTATTTGACAAACGATGCAACTAAATCTCAAAACTCAAAATCTCAATGACTTCGTTTGTAGCTTTAGGTGAGGTTAGGGTTATTAGTATCGGCATGCTGTCCTGTCCCATAATCTTCACGTAAACTTGAATCCTCGATCCTGATTGGTTGATCCATCGCAACAAACAGTGCTACATGTAACCATGCAGCATGGTCACTATTCTAAGAGGTGCGCGCCATTTCGTACACACACGCAGGTGTAATAGGATAACCGCTGAAAAGCTTTTAGTGCGTCAAGTTTGCCTGAAGATAAATTTGTTGTCTTTCTCACGCTCGTAGAACACAGAAAATGTGGTGCATCTGTGTCCCACATACCACGAGGCCGAATGTGGGACACACACGCACTACATTATTCTGTGTTCCACTCACGCTTGCGGGATAACTAATATAATCTGACAAAGTGCAAATACATATACAGTGCATAAACAGCGCAACCAAGCATTTGTTTTTCTTCCAATGAAATTCTGTTGTTTCTTTCTTCCCAGATGTGCCGTCCTGGTTAAAGAGCCTAAGGTTACACAAGTATTCAGGATTGTTCCAACAGATGACGTATGAGGAGATGATGCTACTAAATGAGGGCAAGCTAGAATCCATGGTAAGCTAGCTGGAATTCCTTGATGAAACATCATCAGGCAAAAATATGTTGTAAAGGACTGTTCAGAGTTTGAGGCTTGTTTATTCAAATTGATGTAAGTTGTGAATTTTACAAAAATTAGTTGGAAATCAGGCCAGTTCATCCTTGATGAGAAACCAAAAGTGACTTTCACTGGGAATGTTTTGTGGCATCAATTTCACTGTACATGTATACATATTATTATTACAATTTGGCCAAAGTACAATTATACAACAAGCAATCCACAGAAATAAACAAAACTAAACAAGAACAACCCAATCCAAGCTGGCCAGGATTGACAAAAGTAAAAAAAAAACACTGTGACTCGATCCTAACTGAAATGGTCACATACAAAAATAAATTGTGATGAAAAAAAAGACCACATTGAAATGAAATTAAAAAAAAAAGTAAGAGATTAAAAAGATTAGGAGTTAAAAACATTGCCAAAAATTAAAAGTTATCAAAGGTAAGAATAGCTGGCTTAAAAACATAACAATATGCAGATACAACAGATGGCTTAAGAAAAACCAAATACTACAACAAAATATAAAATGATAAATGATAAGCAATCAGAAAAGTGCATTCGTGTTGAGTATAAACCAGCCATTGATACACGTAACTACATGTTTTTTCCCCTCCGCCTTCAAGGCCTACACAAGCAGTAAGTTCTGGAAGAGTTTATAGCTACATGTACTTGGAGCTTTGGCAGCAATGTTCACTAACAAAAAGACTTCCTTGTTCTCATGCAAGCATTTGCTTGTTTGAGTTCTCATGAAAGGGCACAACTCTTCCAATTTGTCAGTGATTGTCAGATAAATGCAGAGGAAATGTACATTGTAGCTTTGTGGAGAGTGTGTGGCCTAGTGGTTAGGGTTCGTGACTCATGATCAGAGGACCAGGGGTTCAAATCAAGCTGCTGGTCATATGTTGTGTCCTTGGGCAAGCCACTTCACCCCCACTTGCCCCTCTCCACCCAGGAGTATAAATGGGTACCGGCATTAGCTGGGGAGTAACCTGCGATAGACTAGCATCCCATCCAGGGGGAGTAGAAATATTCTCAGTCGTTTCATGCTACTGAAACCGGAGATAAACGCCCGCCTGATGAGCCACATTGGCTCGCGACAGACTTTACCTTTTTTTACATGTAGCTTTACAATGTTTGGCCAAGTCAATCCAATTGATCAAAGTTCCATTCTTCAGATGGTTGACTGTGGTATGACACAGCGATCATTTGTTAACCTGCTGTAGGCTATAACAAAATTGTTTTGCAAATGTGTAGTTGATATTTATTGATTTTTTTTTTTGGTTTGTTCTTTATCTAGAATGTGACCAAAGGGGCGAGACACAAGATTGTTCTGAGCATCCAGAAGCTGAAGGAAAGACAACTGATGTTACACAATCTTGAAAAGGTGAGCCTCTCAAATGTGTTGGCTCAGCTGCAATTAGCATGCAGTCCCAGCCCGCAGTATTGGTAACATACCACCTTCAGTTCAGGCAATAAGCTGGAAATAGGTTGGTTTGGTTTTGCAGCACTTGAGTTTCATTTCTTACTTTTGTTTCCATCTTAGAATCAAATTACGCAACTGAAACTTAAGTAACCCTCGCCTGTTTAATACAAAAATAACATCGATATGAACTGTGCCAGGAATTCTTATAAAAATACATCAATGAGAAATTGAGACCAAGCTGCCGTACAACTAGCCTTTCCCCTCATGTGAGATTTTGGGTAATATCTGGACCTGCAGTCTTGAATGGGCTTCTTGAAAAAGTGTGACTTGTAAATTATGTATTGTAGTACGAGAAAAGAGGAAGCCAACATGGCGCTCATGGTGCAGGGCAGTGTGGGTAGCATTATAGAGGGTGCTGTTGTATAAACTCTTAGCGAATGGAACCTGTCGGTAAGGGGAATATGCAAATGTGGTGGCTCTACAGGTAAATATCGCTCGTAGACTCCGACCACACTTCTGGGGGGGGGGGAATTGTTAATGTTATTCCTTTTTTGCGTTTGTCCTGATTTTTATGAATCAAGTTAAAAACGGTTCCTCTGTTTTGTAGTACTCGCAAATTGGTATCGACAGTTTGTTGTTTGTTTATCATGTTTATAAAAGAATTTTGAGGTAGTGGTACCCCTTCGTAACCACTTCCTTTCCCCCTCACCCCAAACCACCAACACCAGGAAGAAACTCCAGCCGCTGACTCATCAGCAAACAGTTCATGACTTGTAGTCCCCCTCCCCTCCCCTCCCCTCCCCCCTCCTGCCAAGAACTGCACCATGGTGTGATCGGAAGCCCAGTCTGTCAGGGAAATGAGAGCTCGTTACCGGTAGAGCACGTGCCATCGTTACCACCGGTTTCCATCAAGTCTTCAGCGGCGTGCATATGATTGTACCATTGGTTATTAATCCTTTCCTGTCTGTAGGGTGGAGTGCAGGATATGGGCGGGGAACCAGTCACAGACTGGCCTTTTTTTTTTTTTCCTTTCCACTTTTATTTTGTGTCATTGTGAAGATTTTTTTTTTTTTGGGAGGGAGGGAGGTGTCTACGGGTTGTTTTTGTTTGTTTTGTTTGGTTTTGTTTTGTAGGGTGTGTTTGTATCATTTCCATTTGTTTGTCTGTCTGTCAGCAAACATACTTTTTAAAGTGATCATTGACTTTGCAACATTTACAGATGAAGCTAGAAATATATTTAACTAAGGCCGCATCCGAATCAACAGTCTAGAGCTAGGTCTAGGTCCGCGCCCATTGAAAATACGCGGGGACGCGCTGACAATAGACGTAGCCGTAGCTCTGGAAGCCCGTTTCGGACACGGCCTAGGAAATGTGGACTCAGTTAGTCAACTCACCAACATTTATCAAGCAGGAAGACGGAAACATTATCAATACTGTCAATTCATACGAGATTAATTTTTTTTGAAAAAGTGGAAGCTTCAAAATCATTTCGAAAACCAAAAAAAAATTGTTGATTCATAATTGGCATGGCTGATAGTGATGGGATCACATTTAACCCTAACATAATAACACACCCAGATCGAAAGACAATTTTGTCAGTATCCAAATACCTGCATTGAGGGCATTACTACCCCAATCAGTACTTACAGTCCACCTCATTGAGTACAATTTGGCCAATACCCAATACCTACATTTGAGGATAGTAACTACCCCACTATACCCCAATTTCTGTCTTCTTCAGGACATCGTCAGTGACAACAGCCCTGGCAATCTCCGCAACGCCCTGAACGAGGTCAAGAGCATGCTGAATACCCCGATCAAGGTATACGACCCTCAGGAATCTTCCAGCGAGGACGCGACGTCTTCACAGCCGGCCGAGGACGGCGAGAGAGAGACCAAAGAGGGGGATTTCCCCGGACAGCTCACTCGATTCATGGGCAAAAGTGAGTTGACCGTGAGAGGCTGGTTTATAGACTCTGTTCGCAAGTACATGTACTTCCTCTAGAGAGACTTAACTCTTGACTGCTATGGCTTTGCAAACATTGAGGTGAAAATAAGGTTTTGTATTCTTAGAGCCATACGGGTGTAAACTAGTGCGGACAACCCGTGCGCACAACTTAGTATGTCCCACTAAACTCTTGAGAGTGATTAAAAAGTTTCCGTTTTTTTTGTGCATGGACGGAATTCTTATTCAAAAGTTTCAAAAATGACACATCTTACACATGTTTCATACTTTTTTTCGGAGCCACAGAGAATAATGTGCCGTCGACTTTGGCAACATCATTAAAGAGTTGCATTATTTGAGCTCTGTAATGTTTGCTTACCTCAAGTTTTTATATTGTACATGATACACAATCAGTAAAATAACCCATGAATGCAAATATAGACTCCGTGCACAAGTACCCCCTCAATGGTTATAAAAGGAGAGTTGGGGGAGACCACTGGGAGGGACATCCAAACGCATTGTCGCGCTCACCTGAAGACACTATGGCTTTGTGTACATTCAGAATAAAATTCATTGTGCATACTTCCCCCTACAAGTGCACAAACCTTTACGCGCATGCAGTGTGTCCTATCCGCTCCGTTCACAAGTACCCCCTCACCGTCAAAGAAAGCACAGTTGGGGGTGACCGACCGACGCCATCTTGCCTGACTCCAATTTTGCCGCAAGCGCGGCTGTACCATGTACCATGACTGCGTGTACATTCCATATCTATGACAAATCACCTGGTGTACGTGCGTCATGCACAAGGAATGGTTTGCGTCGACCAGCTAAATGTCCCACCCATGGGACGTCGTTGCTAGGTAAAAGGGCGCCCTCTTTGGTTGGCGCACAGAGCCCATACACCATTTGTACGCTAGGCTCTCGAAAATGGTCAAAAAGTGCCATGCACCGAGTTCTTAGCAGCATATGAAATGGACGCCCATGTTTTCATTGAGTGGGTGACTCTGTGAAGTGCTGGTAAGCTGATTACAGAGATAATATTGCATTGAACATTTTCACGAAGGTCACGGTCAAACTGTGAATGCAAAGTTGTATTTGTATACTGCACGTGTTTTCTTAATTCACAAAGTAATTTGTTTGTTTGTTGTCTTCAGTGTGTACTCAGGTGTTAGTTGCTAAGAGACCGGATGAAGACAATGTCAGCCTGTATCTCGCGCTCCTAGACAAGTGTCTCAACCACGAGGCCTTCACGGCCGCCCAGAAGAAACGCTTTGTCTCTTGGCGTCAGAGCTGTCAGAAATTCTCCCGGAACCCGTACCCTCGCAAGCTGTCCTTACAGGAGACCAAACAACCCAGAACGTGAGTAGCTATTGCAAAAAGTTGGGTTACCCTCACAAATAAAATCTTGCACCAAAGACCTTATTGTCCCAGGCAATAGTGGAATCCGGCGACCAGAATTAGAGGCTTTTACTGCGGTGGTGTCACACTCGCGCGCATGCCGCGTGTGTTCTTAAGGATTTCTATTGGTTGAAGGAGCCCAGAGTGCGTGTGTACCACCTGAGCGCGACTTGCGTGAGCGTGGTGGCAAATTCGTCATATGGATGGTTGTTGAGCGCTCTCTACAATACTTTTATTATACGAACGCAGCTATATAATGCCATGAATTATGGTTGGCTTTCGAGCTCTCCGATGGCTCAGTTGGATAACGCCATGGTTTTGAGATTGTGAGTTCGAAACCACATTTTTCCAATTTTTTTTTTTTTTTCTAATTTGCGGCTTTGGAGGATTGTTTTTAAAAAGGGAAATAATATCTGAATTTCATTAGGTTCGAATTCATTTCTTTTTTTTCTTTGATTTATATTTTTTCTCATGTTTTTAGGGAAGTAAAGTCCAAAACCTCGTAGCGTACACCCCATTTGCTTATGTCGTGTACGGGAAAAAAAAAAATTTGCAGCCTGGTGCCACCGCAGAAAATGGCTGCCGCCGGATTTGTCTACAGACCGATCCATATTAAGCCCCGCCCCATGTACGTTGACCAATCGCAGCCGTGATTAATGTCAGCCATACATGCACAAAAGTCAGGCTCAATGACAGGCTCAATGACAGGCTCAAATGACAGGCTCACGATTTGCTGGTAAAATAGGTCATTTTCAGTCACTACGCCAAAACCTACGCCACCTAGAATGGTTGCGCAAGTTACGCCATAATTTCTTGCGCAGGTCGCAGACTTTATAGGCACTGTGAAAAACTTTCGTGAAATATGTTAGAACTGAAATGTTGTGCAGCGTGAAATGTTGCGAAACTTATGCAATAAATTGTGGCGCAAGTGGAGCTACGCGGTTGCGTTACGCAGTTGCGTAAAATATCGTGAAATCGGCAGCTGGAGCCCACACAAATACACACGTAGATGAAAATTAATTGTGCATACGGTACCTTGTGCCAAACGCACTAGAACCATGCACACTGTGTTTCCTACACATGGAGCTCTCATCAGCTGTCAAGTGATCGCCCATTCTACTGTTCATGAACGGTCCATACATTACTTACTGTTCCTCCCTCGTAGAAAAAGAAACACAATATGCTTTGATAGGCTAACTATAAAGGGAAAGTGTTGTTTTCTTTGTGAACTCAGAGGAAAACCAACACACTGTTTTAAAAAACATTTCAGATAAAAACTGGGGATTGTGAAAGTCCAAAATACTGTTTTTGCTTTTCAGTTTCAGTTTCTATTAGGTTCAGAGTCAATACCCTGTATTACTGGGAAGTCCAGAAGTTTGCCGTGGTATTACTTTCTGATCCTGTGAACATGAGAAATGATTAATTCCCACGCTAATATGACAAGAAAGCATCAATTACAGCAATTTAGTGGTGTCCTTGAAAAGTTGACTCTGCCGAACCACTTTTGGTTTTCTATTAAGACAACTTTGTTTTTTTACATTCAGATTTTTCTGTTTTTGTTCATCTCTTTGGCATCGTGCCCCCTTGCGTTAGGTGGTTCCGTGATGACTTTACCCAGGAAATTTCATAAGACAGAGGAATTCTTGCCTCACGGCTTCCCGTGACGCTGATTCACGACTTAACGCGCTGGTAGCCGCGGCCAACTCCAATAAGCCACGTACATTTGTCACTTCCTCATTTACTTGGCACGAGGCTGCGCAGGGAGGCTGCTGTCACTGTCATGTGAATTCCAGGCAAAATGAAATGAGAATCAGGCGTAGATCCAGGGGGGGGGGGGTAAAAGAAAAACCCAGCTCTGTCAAAACAAAAAAATCATAGAAATTCCTGAAAAATTATGTGAACCCTCCCCCCCCTCACCCCCCCCCTCACCCCCCCTCTCACCCCCCCCCCTCACTCTCACCCCCCCCCACCCCCCCCCCCCCCCCCTCACCCCCGCTCTGACACCCAAAAAATTATACTGGTAAGAACGTTCGCCTGTGCACAAACTACGTACAGAGCCAGCTTGGTTAGGGGGTAATTGTGCATTAGTCTGTAATGTACACTGTATAGTGTTCATAATCTTCGGATTTGAACAGCGCCCCCATTGAAAGAATGGTACAGCCTCAATCCTGACAATCTTCCGTTATTTCTTGAATGTGGTCTTTGGAGTGGTGACCACGACCTCCAATCCTGCACAGTCCTCCAGCAATCACTGTCAATATGTCGAGGCAGAGCCAGTGAAATCCTGGAGCAGTGCACAGGATTAAAAGTATAAGCTAGGCCTACATTTGTGCACGGCTGAGCATAAATAACACAAGGTCCGGCCCAAGACCTTGACACAGTGCATCCTCCAAAATCAGCCACACCTTTCTGCCATATAGCCTTAACCCTGCAAAATGCTCCATTTTGCAAATAGCATTTTGGAAGATTTGGGAAGGTTAGGCTTAATGGAAGTAAAACCTGTCATCCATCTATTGAGTTAACAGATTTAGACAAAATGGTCAAGCCTTTGCAACTTCTCCACAAATAATATTTGTTTTTTTCTCAAAGACTGTTTGAATACGCAGCAGTGCTAATAATTTGCTGTTTGCCTTTTGTTTGTTATTTGTGCAGGTGGGGCCATTACAGCACCAATTTCCCTACCGACTTTAGCTTGTTTGCTGCCCAGGGAGCGGCCGGTAACCGGAGACTAACGCGCCAACCGTTTGTAACGCCTCAACCTCAGGGTCCAGCTCAGCCTCATCCTCAACGGATCAACTCATTGTTGACTGGAGGGGGGAGTCCAGCGCTGTTCCGACCGACGCAAACGTCCAACATGTACATGAAACCTAGACAGGTAAACCAAAAAACAGTCTAGTTTAGGACTAGACTGTTCCCCCCCCCCCCTAAAAATATGGGGACCGGTAGCTAGCTCCCATTTAAAGCCATTGATTGGATCACCTCTGTGCGCACAGCATGATTGTTTATTTTCAAATCTCTATTAAGAACTGTGCATGGACAGGGATTGAACACACGATAATAAAAAAAAATCCCTCTTGTCTTACTACAAAAAGTACGCAAAATCACCAGTGTCTCCTTGAAGGTAACTTTCAAGCATTTCAGCTGCATAGGTTTTAAATACTGAACAGTAATTTTTCTCTCTTTTTTTGATATTTGCCAGAGACTTCCGAATTCAGCATAAATCGAAGCTCATCACCTCCGAAATTGTACATTGGTGGTGCAGCCTATTGCCATTTTGCAATAGGCTGGCTGCAGGCAAACATTACCGTTGTGATTTTCATTTCAGGAGGCGGGATTCAGACCTATATACGTCATGCATATTATTTGCATACATCAGACGGGATACCGCCTGATGTATGGAAGATTCACCGCTAGCTACCTGTCCTCATATTTGAAGTCTGAATGACAACATGGTCAGGGAACCGGACTAGTTTAGGACTTGGTGATTGTTTTAAATGAGCCCTTGCCAAGGATTCTGAAGGATAACATGTAGCCCTTATGTTCTTAGACTTAGTCATGAAACTATGACAGAACATCACCTATTTTGCAACATTGTGCATGCTAAATCTAAACATTGGCACGTTAATGTCAGGCTTTCAAGTATTCCTACTTTTCCTACTTTTTCTTAGTTTTTTACCTTGCTCCTCTCCTTTTTCTCTTGAAATTCCTACTTTTCCTACTTTTTCCAAGTTTTTTACCTTGGTCCTACTTTTCTTAACTTTTTGTCCTGAAATCCTACTCTTTCCTACTTTTTTGTCCCACAACTCTGAAAAATAAAAATCTCATCGTTACACACTGTCATAATTTAAATCGCACAAGTGAAGGGCTTGGGCGCAGGAGTACTGCAACTGTACTTCCAAGAGCGTACGTGTGGTTTAGGATGTTGTGAGTACATGCCAAATGAGGCTCATGATGCTATGGACATGGGTATCCATGAAAACCACTCCTGAAAGCCCAACAAAGTCCTACTTTTATCCTTGATATTGTCCTCCAAAGTCTTATTTTTGTCCCGTTTGTTTGAAATTTTGATCCTACTGTTCTACTTTTTCACCTGGGTCTGCTTGAAAGCTTGTAGTGTGCATAAAATAGCCCCCATGTTCAATAACGTGAGCTCTATGTGTTGGTCACACAACTTATGAAAGACTTACTTTTCTCAGAATTTGCACAGTCTTCGCAGTACTGGTGCTCGAAAACACACTAATGCCTCGTGCTTTCTTTTTAACAGCAGATGGTTTCCATCATTTAACTGCATAATGCAAAAAAAGAAACTAGTTTGCAAAAACCTGCCATTGATATTCTGATTTCAACATATATTAAATTATTTTGTAACTTTCAGTCATACTCCCGATTTATACATTGCTGAGGGCAAACAATACTTTGTCTCTTCTTCAGCTTCCCGGTAACCCACACATTGGCGTCCAGCGCACCAAGTCGGCGCCCATCAGGAGAACATCCCAGCCCGCCCAGCCGTACACCTACCAAGTCCAGCCCCTGCAGGACCCCATCAACCAACCCATGGGGGATCCTGAGATGACCAATCGGCTGGAGAACTTGTGTCTGAGTATGACGGAGCACGCCCTGTCCGGTAAGTCGTCTCCTCAGCGTTGGTATGATACGACAGCTTGACGCACTGCTAAGCACATAATTGTCTTTAAACGTTTATTTCGTGGAGAATCTAGCAGAGCAAAAAACATACTAACTTCAGAAGCAGAATTTCTTTATGAAGGTTTACATCACTGCTGTACTATAAAGCACAAACTATAACGCACAAACTGTATGTGTGAGTATGTGTGACCTGCAACTGATTTCACGAAACAGTGTGTAGCTTACGCCGTGCGTTGGACTAACACAACCAATCTGTTGCGCAGCTGCGCAATAAGCTTACGATCGATTTCACAAAATTTTGCTTAATAGTCGCTACGCCACACCTTCTCCACCTAAAATGAATTTGCAAGTTACGCCATAATTTATTGCACAAGTCACGGACTTACGCACCGTGAAACTTTTTAAAAAATGTGTCATAACCGAAATGTCGTGCAGCGTAAAATGTTGCGCAATTTACATAATAAATTTTGGCGCACGGTTGAGTTACACCATTGGGTAAAGTTTCTTGAAATTGGATGCAAGTCATTACTGTCGTGTCACAGACCCGTAGCGTCTGTGCATGAGACAGACACAGGAGCAATGGTGCTCACATGCCCCTCAGTATCGGCTCTGTTTTTTACATGATCACCACTGAGGAGGTAAATGTACATTGACTTCACAGCTCTGCACGCACTCCCTGCACACAATCCATGCACACTATTGATTATTACCTCCGCCAAGGAGGTTATGTTTTCATCGGATTTGTTTGTTTGTTTGTTGTGTGGTTGGTTTGTTGGTTGTTTGGTTGGTTTGTCTGTTAACAAGATAAGTCAAAAAGTTATGTATGGATTTGCATAAAAATTGTTTTAGGGGTGGCCCTTGGTACAAATGTACGAATCGATTAGATTTTGGAAGTGATCCGGATCGGAGTCTTGATGCAGGATTTTTTTAAGGATTCTTTTATGCGACTATTTCTTGTGGGTGTACTGACAAGCATGTCAATAGATGGCGCTCTCCGACACTCGCAGTCATCGCGCCTTGGTTGTTTCCCATCCGGGTATTTCTCACGCCCCACTCAAGGGTCACACATTGGCACAATATGGCGGGGAATGTTTAGCCTTGGCGAAGGTTTGCGGACTTTGCACTCTCTGAGGGCTTTCCAGTTTAACAGATTGGTTGGAGCTATTTCCAAAGCTCAAATTAACTCCATTTTGTATGCATTTCAATCATTCTTTCTTCAATCAGATGGTGGAGAACATCCCAACAAAAGCAACAGAAATTGAAGACGCCTTGCCCAAGTGACGAGAAGGATTCCAAAGGAAGCTCAGGGTATCGTTCTCGGGGGGAAAACAACGAGTAAAGGGATGGGAGCCAAGCCACGCCCCCACCCCTCCAATCACCATGCAGCGTTTGAGTGCAGGCAGCGTCCATGGATTTCTGAGGCAATCGGACCACAGTCTGAAACGGTATTCCTAAAGCACTGCAGATACGTCTTGAACCACAACACGTGTTGTATGGATCTGTCAAACAGGGCTTGTGCTTGTCCGCCATTTTAATCAACCAAAATTTTGTATATCGGTATTTAATGGATATCAAATTGTTCTTGTCATCATGCATGATATTATATGTACTCCTCTCTTTTGATCTTTGTATTCCTAAGCTACAGGTGTCTACTTCAACTTACCACTTGCGGAACAAAAAAAAAGTGTGACACAGTTTTGTTCCATATTTTGGTTTGTCGTTCCGATTCTTTTTTTTTCTTCTTTTTTTCTTCAGTTGAATTATGTAAAAGAAATGGTATGCCCGTGGGATTTACAACTTATTTGGACTTTGATGGAGTTGGATTTTGATAAGTGAAAAATGTTGTTGAAAAAAAAATGTTACCAGCTAAATGCCATTCAGTGTACATTGCTGTGACTGGCTCCCAGCAGGTAATTTTTATTTAGCTTGTAATCTTGCTTGGTTTTGTCTGCATTGCAAATCCATGCTTTTGGGCATAAAAGATCAATAAGAAACCATTACAAAGCTCAACCCTCTTAAGATATTCATGGATTTCAGTGGTTTTTTTTTATTCTGCTGTTGGGCATCTGCAAGGAGAATACCCACAAGAATTTTTATGTTATTAGTCTGTGCGATGATTATATAATTACAGAAAATATGCTGTTACGCATGTGGACAAAAAAGGGACCTTTTGTTGGACTTACGCACATGCATCTAATCCTCCTAAATATATCTCTCTTGCACACAGATGTACATTTCACCAGCACATTAATGGTTGATGGCATAAACTCCTGGTGAGTTGTGTTATACCAAGCTGTCTCAGTCAGGTACCTTGAAGACAGTACAGTCAAAAATTACAGATTCAGTCACAGTTTCAGTGGTATCAGCCTATTTGATTTTATTTTTATTTATTTTATTAATTCTTTTTTGCAAGGAAACCAGTGTAACTATTTTCTTTTCTTTGAAAAGAGCAATATTGCGACATCAAAGCAAGTGTTTGTCTAAATCGTTAAGTTTTGAAAATGGAGGAATCTCCATATTGTATTTTATTTTATTTTTTTAATTTAATTTCTAGATATGATTTCTCAAGACGAGAAAATTCTTGACAAATTATTACATGTAACTCAGTTTTATGGGGTGGGGGACCTTTGTGCGAAAAAGTCGTTCTGTTCTGAATTTTAACTATTTTGACTTTTTTGGTGAAGCATTCTCAATTGGCGTTTCACACAGTTTACAGTTTTGTTTTGTTTTTTTTAATTTTAGTTCCACATCTGCTTAAAATGTTGATTTTTGCTCCCCCCCCCCCCAAGAAAATCATTCATAAAAATTTGTGGCAGTCATCACTAGAAATCTTTTTCTCTTTTTCTATTGTTTTCTTTTACTGGAACCAAATTTCAGTTTCAACCCCTCAAAAATTTCTGGGTATATGTACATGTTTATGTATATGTCTTGTTCCTTTAATTTTCCTAACTGCGATCCATACATGTAAACTTACAATATGCTGTATATTTGCTTCAAAAAAGACATTATTGGTCGGTCTCGATTCATATTTTTGGACTCTGAATATGATCAATGTATAAAAACAAACAAGTGCGTATATATGTGTATATAAACTATGATATAACTATGTACAATTGACGTTTAAGCATTTCAAAAGAAGTTTGTGAAACTTCGTTCCCCTAAGTTAAGAGAGATCTTTCAGTCGACTGATAAAAGAGAATCTTTTATTTGATTTCTGGTGGTTTTTTTTTTTTGTAGTGAGGTGGATTTTGACGTTTAAATCCTAGGCCATACTAGGTTCGTAGCTAGACACTGGCAAAGCGGAATGAGTAACTTTGTTTTAAAATTTTATTTCAACAAATCTTCTAAACATCTACCAGATGAGCCCTTTTCCCCATGTTTTTTTGGGGCTATGCACCTTGATTTGTCCAAATATCGTCACTTAATATCAATGAATCTATTGGGAAAAGCCTGGGCCCAGTTTCATGGCTCTGCTAACCACAGGATTCTGCGCTTGCCAAATTTACGATCACTATTCTGTGCTAACAGTTAGCAGAACAATTCTGTGCTAACTCTGTAAGCACAAAATGCTTAGTTAATGGATGTATACGCATACGCCAACATTCCTGATTAACCATTGAAATATGCTAACCGTAAGCACATATTTTTTGTCACTAGCGCCTAGCAGTAAGCAGTGCCATGACATTGGGCCCTGGTTCTACAGTGGCGCTTTGGTTTCATCAACACCAAGTCCCTTTGATGGCAAAATAGTCCAACCCTAAAAAATTGCATTTTTAGAAAGTCCCAACTGAAACTTTCAGTTGAGGATTCCTGCTTTAAACAATACATGTACTTGGTGGATTTTAATACAACCTGTTACCAATTCTGCCAAAAGACAGGTTTTTTAGCAGGAAAATGCCAATTTCGTCAAAGAACAGGGCCAAAAACAATACAAAAATATTTAAAAACCTGAAAAAAATGAAAATCATGACCCCAAGATAAAGAGTCAAGATGAGTACAGTGTAAATCGTTACCTCTGCTGAAATAATTCTTAGCTTGAAAACTTGTACATCTGGTGATGGTAATGCACAATTTGTTCTTTGACGTACAATTGTTATGGGTAGTGCACTAGTTATAGCAGTCCAAGTATTAGCTCAACACTAAATAGATTAAGGTATCTAGGGGAGAAACCATTGTACAAAACAGTGCCTCTGAGAGGAGTAAACATTTAACAAACACACACCCTGGTGGTTGTGGAACACCTAGGTTTTAATTTTAACTCTATTTTTTTAAAAAGAAAGAAAAAAACGTTATTCCGACATGGTGAGGACAGAATTTTTGGGGGCTAATCGGTGTTTGTGTAAACTTGTGAGCCATGGTTAAAAACAAAATTCGTAATTAAGACAAAGGCTAGCGAATCTAAAGTATAAATAGTTGTTGTTTTTAGTGCTTATTTTCAATAACAAAAAGTTGACCACAACTAACTTGCTTTAGCATTGTATGTTTTGTTCTTGATTGCCCTGGTGGTACATGTACGACATGGTGCATTTAGTCTGTTGTAGTTTGAAACTTGTGTTTAAAAGTCTTGTGGTCGATTTTTTGGGAACTTGAATTTGCATAATCCCCAGCATTGTTATTTGTTCTGTCTGTCACATGTGGGCTTACACCACTTGTTAAAATAATCCCATGCTGTGCAATGCTACCAAATTTTATAATGTGATCACTTTTTTTTTTCAAGTCTAAAGTTGACTGAGTGGAGTTCTGAATTCTATGATTTTGAAGTTTTCAGGACAAACTGACTCTGTTGGTGATTTCTAAACAAAGAATTTGGATCAGCTAAAGAGCTGGAATCTCATGTGCCAACATTTTCAATATCAAATTTTTTAAAAGGCCAAAATATGTCTGGATTGATTGGTTGGTAGAGCACCGGTGCAGTTCAAACCCAGTCCGAGTATCATCCGTTGTTCAACGGAGCCGGCACGCGCCGCACTAATGTCTGCTGTGTGTGCATGAAAATTGTATACAACCCCGCGTCTGCCAATCTGAGTCGACTTTAGACATTGTGACGTCATTTCAAGCAGAGGTTCTGCCTAAGCTATTGATTGGTCAATTTGCTACCGTGTTTATGCAAGACAACGGGTTACTGAAGACCCGATAGAAGACGCCCGCTGAATGGTCAGAGTCTTGAGTTCTAAGACGCACTCTTGTGTTGAATGATCTGCACACATATCATAGGTGCTTGCTGACAGGCTTTGTCCAAGCCCCACTCCAGTCAATTTCTTTGTTCAACAGTATAAATCAGTCCCAGAAAAAAAGTCTAGTTTGGGCTACAGTATTTCAGTTTGGCATCAGATGCATAGTTCCTTTTTGTGTGTAAATATCGTCTAACAAAAAAAAAGTGCTGCTTTGAAATATTGTGTCGTATGGTTATCTCTGTTTCATTACGTTTGTTGATTTCAACGTTATACTATGTAACAAAATGCCCTGGAGGTAAAACAAAGAAATATTAAAAAAAAATTCTCTGGAGAAATATTGTAAAAATAAAACATAAATAAGAGTTAACGATAAAAATAACCCATGATGGATTCATGGCTGGTTTAACATTGATATTATCACTACCAAGCTGGACTTAAATGAGTTGATTATTTTTGTTTGTTCCTGTATAATTGAATTGACAAAGATGAAGAAATAGTAGCAGACATTTATATTGATTAGAGAAATACCTTGATATTCACAAGTAATTTGATTAGATAAGATAGAAGTTTGTATAAAAAGCTGGTCTTGAAATCCATGGGGACAGTGGAAGGTAATCGTAACAAAGATAATGTGACGTTTGTAATACTGTTTAAGTTTGAGTGTCGGCCAGTCTTAGCAAATCTACTAGCAGTAGCTAGGATTATGTAGAAAATACAAAACAAATTTCGTTTGGGAAATCCTTTAAATCTGTTTAGCCAATAAGCCATTTGCGAGTTCAATTTGAATAAAATCTGGAATGCCGACTTCATCCAGTGCTTTGCACGTTTTAACTTTGCTTTCTCCTGACCAAAGAGACTGTTACTAAATCAACGTGATTTGGGGCAAGCCTTATGCTAGCAAGCAACCCCCAGCTCCGGCATGGTCTGCTGTCTTTGTGCCATTCTCACCCATTGTGAACAATGTATTGGTGCTGAGCATCTCTTACGTAACTATGCAAGAGCTTGCCCCGAATCTTGTGATTAGCAACAGTGTCTTTGGTCTGGCGAATTCAAAGTTAAAATGTGCCAAGCATTCTGAGCAAGTCAGTGTACCAGATGTTTTTCAAATGTAAATCCCAAAGGGTAAAGGTAACTCGCAAATGGCTTATTAACAGCCATTGAAGATTTATTTCTAAACCTTTCTAAACCTACAAACCCTGAACTAATGAAAGACGCCTTTTGTTATTTGATGCTCCAAATTGATAACAGAATATTAGTTATTACTCAAAATTATCCAAAATAATCACCTAGATATCTTACGTAATATCTGTATTCTCATGAGCTAAAAATATGTATTATGTAAAACCAGGGTACTGTGTCATGGATGCTACCACAGGATTTGGCAATTATGATCACCGTTGTGCGATCTAGCACAGAAAGTACCAGCATGGGCACATGTCAAAATGTCTTGCTAATCCATGATATATGGAAAGTATTATTGGAAACCTTTGGGGTTTTTTAGTTGGAAAATATTCTTGGTCTACAGAAGGCAATGCCGCGCATGCCATGAAATATGGCCCAGAATGATCTAGCGATAAGACTTAAACCTTGGCTGTTGAGTTTGAAGAAAACAGCAAGATGATTGTTGACACGAAACACATCTGAACTTGCTGTTCAAATAACAATAGTTATCGAACAAAGACCGAAGAATATTAAGCTTAAGTCCAAATGTTATGGGTTAACATGTGAAATCAAAAATGTTGAAGATTATTGGCTGAAGATCAGGGTGTTCAGTTGGGTCAACTTAATGCTTTGAGTTCACGTAATGATTGAAAGTTTGGTCGGGGTTCGAACCCACCACTTGAACTTCAACAGCCCTGGCAAGTGCCAAACAAATGCATTCATACTATTGCAATGTGGCAGGATCCACATAAGATACTTGTTCCAAGATACTTTTCTTACCACGACTTGTCCCTTTGAATCGTGTGCAGGAGTCAGGGTTGCACCAAGTCTTCAAAAGCCACATCACAAGTCCTTTCGTCTCAAGTTATTCAAATAAACATTGGCAAAGGCATTCCTTTGTCATTGTTCATCCTGTTACTTTGCGACCTGATGTGTGATTCGACTTGTGATGGACTAGAACAACACTTTCACAAAGAGATGTATTGTTTTCAGTAATAGGCAATTTGTTTACATGGCCGGGTTGGTTGATGTTCAAAGATCAGTGAAAGATTCATCTCATCAAAGTAAAGAAATGTCCATATTTAAAGGGAATATACATCATTTGCTTTTGCTGTAATTTTCAGAAATGGATGGAATTGGGGGGTTGGAAATATAAAGCAAATATAGTTACACTAACTTTTTGGAGGTTTTGGGTTCGAAAATGCTATAAAAACCAAGAAAAACGATCATTTTCCTGTAGTCTGGTTCCCTGACTCCATATAAGAAGAAACAGAGCAGTTTACATACATTGGGGGATTGTAAGGTCAGGGAACCAGTCTAGCTGGCTCGTACCCGTTTATAGGTTTGTAATCGATTGCAAACAAGTGCAATGGTCAATTGGGGCCAGTATTTGAAAAAAAGCCAGTTGTTTCCAACGCTGATCGGCCGATCAGCGTTGGAAATTGATACAAAAATACCACTTTTCTTGAAAATGACAGTATACCAGGTGCCATAATTTTACAGGATGCTTTAGACTGTCATTTACCAACATCCTGTTAAGGTATTTCGCAAAAACCTGGTGGTTTTATTTTTCGATGTTTGCAAATGTTGTATATTCCCTTTAATTTGAAACTGAAGTGTAATTCAAGAAAACTTTTTTTTGTATTAGCTTCAAGATATATGTATCTCAGCCAGCAAACAGATTCGTTTGTGGAGGCAAAATGGAAGAAATAAGTTCAAACAGCTGCAAGGAGAAAGATCAAAATTTGATGATTTTGTTATCATCAACGTTAACAGTGTCAATAAATATAGCAAATTGTAGAAAACTGCTGCTCTTTTTGTTTGCCAAATCTTAATATTCGTTTTGAAAACATGATTTGTCAGCTTGAACTTAGCAAAGGGGTATAATATTTGCAGTTATTGCAGACATCTTAGTCTCCTCCATTATTTGGTTTTAATTTTACCGTTTTGACACTACCAGCTTGGTGCTTGTTTATACGTGTACTGAAAATGGCAATCAGAGATATGTGTTAAGTATAATTATGATGGTTCTGGGAGATGACCCTTTTTCCCCAGCAAAAACTTGTGGATAATATTTGAAGTCTGTACTTGGTATTTGGGGATTTTGACACGATTATTTAACTTTCATTTTGTGTTGTTTTTGTTTTGTGTTGTTTTTTTTCCTTGGTTTGAAATTGTACTATACAAGAGAAAGTCTTTTTTTTTAAGTTGGCTCAGAAACTTGAGAGAACTTTTTATCTTTCTTTTTAACTTCATCCTTTTGCTTTCTTCTAAATGAAAAAAAATTAACACTTTTGCATATTGGACATTTAACAGTCAAACAAATTTGAAATCAAGATATTAAAAACAGGGTCTAAAATGTTAAGTCGTTTGGGGTTTTTTTTGGGGGGGGGGTGGGTTCAGTTGTCCAATAACCAAAACGTTGTTCATGGCCAGATGTTGAACATCCAAAATTGAAGAAGTTGGAAATAATTTTGATTTTTGTTTTGCAGGGTGCACCCAGTGTGCATTACTTTGAAGAAACAAAACAAAACTATTTTTCTGCATTAAGAAAACACTTGATTTTTTGCATGCTGCATATGAAAAGAATATATAATGCCATTACTGTATGATAAAAGACTGTATATGTCAAAACTATTATCCTTGTATAATTATTAACCAAGATTTGGAAGATGTATTACACATATAACCACATCCCAGTGAGGTATACAAACTCAGTTCAGCCAAAGACTTCCTTTTTCTGGATTAGCTGTATTTTTTCACTGCTTGGAAATTCAACGATTCGAGATATTTTTTGTTTGTCCCAAAAGCGTAGTTCAATCATCAAGCATTATAGACCATTTGCATTGGAGCCATCTTTGGGGCGAATGTCAGTTTTGCTGGGATACGCATGAGTACATGCCATGTGCATTCATTGTTACTGAATGAAAATAACAAACATAAACAAGATGGCTGTCGTATGCACAATGTTTTTTTAAGGTTAACATGAGTTACAATTTGCAATAGATCTCTTGTGTTCTCATTTAATATTTATCCAGATTCTTGTACCCTATTAAAGTATACAAACAAAATTTGTTTTTCGGGATCCATGACAACCATGTAATAATTTAGGCCATCCTACAAATGAAGTGCTAAATAAAGCCAATTTCAAACCGCAATTAACAGGATGTTTTAGTGGTCATTGATTTCAGGTTAACAAAAGTAATCTCATCAAATTTGTTCAGTTTGTCTATCCTCATATTGAGAACATGTATTTATCGTAAAAAACACTCTAATCCACGAAAACAATATGTTTGTTAATCCACATAGATAACCTTGAATATACTAATTTCACTCGTAATTATTTGTAAGTTAATTAAATATTCAGTTTTTTTTCTCATGGTTCTCTCTGTGATGTCACGGACGTCTCATAATGTTGCTGTCATCGTATGTATTATTGTACCATAACTCTGACTGTACATCTCTACTTCCAGACTTCTTTTTGTTGTCATCTAAATAAACTAATTGTTAAGGGCCTTTGTTCAGCGTTTGGCTTAATAAAAACCAAAACAAAAACATGCTGAAAATCTGAAAATTGTGACACTGTGTGTTATTTGCATCTATGCAGGTTTGTGTAGAATAGAATTTTAGAATTTCAAACTTCAAATTAAAAAACACATAACCGTACGATCAAGGACCGTTTTCAACAAAAGACCCAACGCTCGAGGACTGAAAGGATCTGTTGTTCTCCCTTTGTGTGTGCGTGTGACCTCTATTGTAAAGCCATACACGTACATCTCAGTTGTCCAATCCGAGCCATCGGTTGAACCTCTCACAGTAATTGTTAAACTTTGTCGCCCAATCATCATCCTCGTCATCCTGCGCACCGTCGGCTGGGTAATGCATCGGATCCCGTGCCCCATCAATCCCACAGTTCAATGGGAAGAACGAGTCAAAATGGCGGCGGCACATGGGGCATTTATTCAGTAACGGGAAACAGGAGGAGCAGACGCAAGTGTGTCGGCACGGCAACAGGGCTATACTGACTGGTCCGTTTTGGCAAACCACACACCCATGTAATTTATCATTTGCGTCCACACTGTCATCCCTATGGTCTGCTGAGTTCCTCTCTCCGCTGCCCGCATCACTGTCTGTGTTCACTCTATTTGGAAGGGCGCCCTCTATGTTAGAATTGCCAGCAGCAGGCTCAGTCGAGTAGTGTGATGTTTGAGTTCCATCTGTGGCCATGAACAGTTTCTGTGAATAAAATCCAAAACAAGTTAAAGGTTATTTCTATACTCTTAAGGCCTTCTATTTTGACAGATCGACAGATCTGTCATTTTCTGTCACCAGTAAAAAAAAATTTAAAACCAAAAAGAAATTGACAAATTGAAATAGAAAACAAACAAAAAACGCAGAGGAAAATGTGCTGGTCCGTACTTAATGGGACATATGGGCCAAAAGGTAATCGCCCAGCAAGAATATCTACCTGTACATACAGTCAGCGGCATAGGTTTGTGGGGTGTGGGGGTGCATGGCCCCCCCCCCCCCCATAAAAAAAATCATCCCCCCAGTCGCCCCCCCCCCCCAACTTGAAATTGGGAACCGTAGAAAAAAACAGTCCTCAGAGTGATCATAATTAGCGGGTTTCACCGCATGTGATTTTTTGTTTAAAAAGTGCTGTGTATTTTTAACGAAAACCCTTTTTTTCCCGAGATTTGCTGCTTATTTAAACGTCTTGTGGATAGCTAATATCGACACCTACCGGTATTGTGTGACACTGACCATTATGTAGGTTTTGAACAGCGCTCCCGTTTTGAACAGATTGTGTCTAGCCCCCCCCCCCCCCCCCCCCCCCCTTCTATATGATTTTACGGCAGCTGGGTGTCCGGTGGAAAACCCTGTGTACCTTTCAGCACAGATACATGATATTGGGCGCCCCTCCACTATAAAATCCAACCCCCCCCCCCCTCATCCGCCTAGGATGAGAACCCTAGCTACGCCGCTGTAAACAGCCACACATAAGATTGTTTCCAAATGATGTAAAAGGGCTCTGCGGACATTTTTGAAGGATATTAAAGGTGTGTAAGGAAAGACAAATGCTTTCATGTAAAAAATAGCCCAAAGCCCTGTAATTGCACGAGGATGATTTACTTGTATATCCCTCATGTCTAGCAATTGTGTTCCCTGGCTTACAACTTCTTAAGTTTTCCCAACGCCACCTAACCCCCCCCCCCCCATAATTAGCCATAATTAGCTGGTTTGACAGACTTCGACAACAGATTGGGCACAGAGCCCTGCAAATTTGAAAGCCACCGCGCGCAGGGGTCTTTGTTCACAAGTATTCATGGTATTTGCCACCTGTACAGGCTGTTAACCAGGAGTTAGACTACATGAAAGTCGTTAATCCTTGCGTGTAGGATCCGTGACGTACAGAAGGACAGCAATAGCAAGTCCGTATGTTTATAGCTTTTTAACTTTTTCTTTTTTTTACCGCAAGACTGTTTAAGCCAAGTTTATTGGTATTTACAATTCATAAATTCTTTTTGAACGGTCTTTGACAGATGGACATGATTCAGATGAATCCCCTTGTAAATTTTACCACGTTTGACTCTGTATTGTTATGTGTTATTGATGATCAATGTTAGCCAGAAGAGCTACCCTCATCAGTTGAAGGAAAAAACCCAGATACATGTAAGTTAATTTAATCAAATGCAGGCACTGGCTATCCAGAATACGAGACAGATGTTTTAGCTGCGGGACAGCAGCTCAACAGATCATCAAGTCTCTCAGTTACTTAGTCAGTTAGTAACAAACGTTGACATTCTTTATTGCTCCTACATGTTTTGAACGATTTCAACCAAACTTTGTCAAAAGTGTTAGTGTCACATGACCAAACTGGGGTCAAAGGTCATCACGTGGTCACTGGGGTCAAAACCCTGATTTGTTTGCGCCAACGAGGGCTATCCCCCTCTCCCCCCCAAAAACAGGAACCCAATTTTTTTAAGTGACGTCGCAATAAAGGCAGGCACTGCGTACACCACCATCTTTTCCTCCAAAAGATTTGGTTAAAAGTGGTCGAAAATTGCCTCAGATCGCACCACAGAGCATCTAGACTCCAAAAATGTTCCTTACCTGCAGATCACAGACTTGTCCGGAGCTGGATATGACAAGTTGTGAGATCAAACGACATCCGTCCGGGAATGTCTCATCTGGTAGATGGAAGATATGCACCGCTCCTACCTGCAAAAATGGGTTAAGAAAATTATAACAATTGATTTTTTTCATGTAATCTCAATGCAATGCTGTTGAGTCAATGAAGTTTAATTTTAAGGTAACTGTGGGTTGCAATGAGAATATCGGCTTCGATTGTTTCAGGAATACATAAATACTCAGATTTGTATTAGCAAGTAGTATTTTTTACTTTCAGAGAGTCATAAACAAGAGCACTAAAACTGAGAAATGTGGTCTGAAGCTAAATTTGCAATTTCACAAGGATTTGTGCAAACTAAAAGAAAAGAAGGAAATTTAATGTCAACATCTTATTCACACGTTTTCAAAAAGTCCACGACAAACTCTGCAAGCTTACTTGCACTGAATTCTGCAGTTTTGTTGCTGAATCATTCTCGATTCCCCCGACGAAAAATAGGTAGAAAATGCTGACTTACATCTACCTCTGTCCAAAACTCAAAAACAGGGTTATCCCCAGAAACAAGATTTGGCCTGACTTTATACACCCCTGACATGAATCTGGACAACAGAATACTTTAAAAAGTCCTGATGGTCTTATAAGAAGAGTCCTGGTTCTTTAAGTCCCAGTCCAGCACCCGATTTCACGAAACTCAGCGTAACTAATATGATGCATCACAGCGCTGGGACGCGTCGCATCCCTACGATGCATTGCAGCTGTGACGCGTCCTGCGATTCATTTCACGAAACGTGTCGCAAGTGTGAGGCATCAAAGGTGAATTTATAGCACAACGCGGTGACTGTTGTATGTATGTACTCAGCGTACAGTAAATAGTCATCTGATATTCAACAAAGAGTCGTCGAATCTCCTCTCAGAAAGTTTTTAAAACATAACACGCAATGGTGGACGTGTGATGCAGTTTTAAAGGAAAACAAGCTCTCGGTGGACTGCATAGCTACTTTGAAATTGCAACTGCAATATTCCAGGATAATTCATATTTACTTTGATGCATCTTCCATTTACAACTTTAGACAAATTGTTTCGGTATTGTAGTCTCGTTATAAGTAGTCGACAAGGAACTTACGATGCATTCAACACATCGCAAGTTTCGTGAAATGGATCCTAAGATGCGTCGCAAGTTGACGTGTTGCACGTCGTAACCCGGGTTGCGACGCATCGCAGCGCTTCGTGAAATCGGGTGCTGGTCCCAGAGCATTAAATCATTCAACTGAATGAAGTTTTCAATTCTTGGTTAATTGTCCAACATCAGCCTGAGAACTGATCCAATTAGCTTTTGAGTGTCTTTTTTTCTTCATGCTTTTAAGTTTGTGAAACTATTACATGAGAGAGAAAATTTGGAACTCATACTTTTTCCCATTGAAAATGAAGAATTCTTCTGATTGTGGGTTTCAAATAAAATGATCCACAAGACAAGAATTCAATTCAGGGATTCCACCACAACTTGCTCAAGTTTATTGACATAAGATAAAGAAACACAAATGAAGAAACATCCCCAAAAGTCAAATCTTTCTTCAAGTTACAAGCGTCTAACTTCAAACTTCTCTAGTGGACCTGGTCCATTCATTGAGGACTTCAAATGTATTCATATTGATTGATCGGGGGGTGGGGACTAGTACATGAATGAATCGCCGACAACATCTGAGACTCATGCGAAGACGCTATGGTTTAGTTTTGTGCACATTCAAGATAAGTAAGTTGTGCATACTTCGCACGCGAACACATTCAAGATAAGTAAGTTGTGCATACTTCGCACGCGAACACATTCAAGATAAGTAAGTTGTGCATACTTCGCACGCGAACACATTCAAGATAAGTAAGTTGTGCATACTTCGCACGCGAACACATTCACGATTTATAAGTAAGTTGTGCATACTTCGCACGCGAACACATTCAAGATAATTAAGTCGTGCATACTTCGCACGCGAACCAGTACAATACGCACACGCGCTGTGTCCTGTCCACGGGCTCTCAAAAGTGGTAAAAAAGCACTCTACCGGTATCTCGTTGGCGCACGGAGCCCATACCATATGAAGTGCAAAAGGTGTGTGTTTTTGCCTTACATGAGCTACATGTATATGGGGTGACTGCTCTATGTTCTGACACCCTTATGTTCTGACAACCTTATGTTCCAACTGCTCAACCTATGTTTCTACAAACCTAGGGTTAGGGTGCGGGTTGGGATTAGGGTATTTTGCAGGCCCGTAGCCCCTAGGGGTGTTGGAACATAGGGGTGTCGGAACATAGAGGTGTCGAAACACAGGGATGTCGGAACATATTCTTTGTTGTCCTCGAGCATTCGTCTTTTGTTGAAACGGTCGTAGATCGTGAGTTTGACTGCTCAGTCTATGGGCGAGTGTTATATTATAGGGACAAAGGGAAAGACAATGCCTTGTCCTCGAGAGTTATGAAAAGTATATGGGTGTGTGTGTGTGTGTGTGCTTGTGTTTATGGAACAAAGGGTAACAAAGGGTAACGCTATTTAGTTTGAGATGTCAATAGGAACAAAGGAGAACAAAAGTAGGCAAGTAAAGTTGGATATTAGTTGTACCCCATAACTACAGTTGGGTGTGTTCACAAGTTGATCGTTCTCGGCTGAGTGCTCCCAAAGCCAGCTTGAGGCAATGAAGCCAGTGTGAGGTAGCCCTTTTGCCGTATTTTTTGCAACTTAATGCAGAAAGGCAAAATTGTGCCTCTGAGTACATCTACAATGTGAGTGTGGATACATGTATACACACAATTGTTTTACTGACAGTAACATTCTTTTAAGAATGTTACTGTCAGTAAAACAATAGTTTAAAAACAGTTTAAAAACGGCTTTGAAAGAAATAGGTTTTGCAAATGACTGACTTCACTTAACTCATAGCACCTGTAGGCCCTACTACACTCAACCAAAAAGAAAGTCCCCCCTTAATACTTTTTTGTCTAACTCAAAAACTACTGGGCACATCTTGCTCAAATTACAACTAATCAGTACAGAAATTCCTTAGCAATCCAGCCATACTCTTTGTTTGGCCGAAAAGAGTGTAAAAAGTGGCACTTTTGTACACTTGCAAGGTGAGTTTGAACCGCAACATGCTCGTACACAAAAGTGCAACTGTTTTCGGTATCATCATAAATTACATAAATTCGTACACATTATTACCGTTTTGGGCCAAATAAAGAGTATGGCAGGATATTGCTAATGAATTTCTGTCACTGATTAGTCGCTATTTGAGCGAGAGGTGCTCAGTAGTTTTTGAGTTAGACAAAAAAGAATTGGAGGGGGGGGGGGGACTTTCTGTTTTGGTTGAGTGTACAAAAAATGTACGTTGTACCGTACATGTATTACATTGTATTTATTTACTGAAGACCAAAATCCATACAACCATCGAGTGTTCAGGCGGTTTCGGGCACTACAGTGAATAAAGGGCAGGGCGGTTTGGAGCAGTACTTACAGAGACCGTAATGGGTTAATCTGAGTGATTTCAATGTTTTGACATACAGAAGGGGTTAAAGAATTGACTCTGCGAGAGCTGCTTAACAAGGCACTGAACAAGTTGGAAGCTCCAGCTGAAAAACGTTCCAGTAGGTTTCATGTCGTTTGATTAGTTATTTAGTTTCTTTGTTACGGCAAAGTAAAAAAAACCACAAGTTTCTCGTCCCCGCCCGCTTCCTTTTTGGAGGCCGCCTGGATTTTTTTATTATTTTTTATTTTTGAAAAATGCAGTAAAAACACTGAAAAAGTCCACAAATTCATCGGAAAATAAATACTTGCGAAATATGTGAGTCGAAGTTTTCAGTATAGACTCTGTCGGTCACTTTGTACACCACATAATATCGACGTGTGATCGCTACCCCTGCGACAGTGCGAGCATGGTGAGTTCACAACAACTCACCCACTTGGTTCCCAGACCAAAAGATTCTGACTATTCCTGATGAATCTACGCACCCATGGAGTCGAGGCTGAGACGTGAGCGTCAGGAATAATTGTCAGGTCTAGGGAACCAGACTACGTACATGTATGTCTATTGATAGTTTTAGACTACAGTCGTTTGAAAATTCAACCGGAATCTGTCTGCCGTACTGTATGCGGTAAATGCTGACTTCAAAGCCAGAATGCAATCGGTATGAGACTAGCTCACGCTGGAGCATGTGTTTAAAGAATTCGCTCGGGACTTTTGGTGGTTAAAGCAAATGCATCTAAAACTGTTCTTGGTAGACCAATACAACTCTAAAGGACACTGTAAATATGTTCAGTTCTCTTGTCCAACTTGTCTTTCATTTTAAAAGTGTCTTTGAACAGTGGAAACACCAACGGTTGCAGGAAATTTTAAAATGGTGGCCATCTTGAAAAAAATAAAAAATAAAAAATAAAAGCCCCTCTTCCTCCTATTTTTCAAAAACCCGGACGAGAACTTTTTTTTTTTTTTACTCGGCCTAATTCTTTTTTGGTCAGTTTTCGGGGACAGACAGACAAACTGACCGACCAACCAACAAGTGTAGAAGCCAGAGCTTAAAATAAACAAACACAAATGCCCCGCAACGGTGACAGTTCCCATGACATAACACCACTCTTTTAACATCAACTTACATGTACCTTGGTCACATGGAACATTCATTGACAGCATTAGTGTCTTCTGTAGGTTTTATATGAATTAATCCCTAATCCCTATAATCTCAGAATAAATACATGATTTCTATTGTTTTAGCCACTGTGAACTTGACCCTCGACCTTTTGGCCCCAAATTCAATAGGCTTCTTAGGATTACCAAGAACAATCCACAAACCAAATTTGAAGTTCATATGTTAAGTATTTCTCAAGTTATCGCGCTGACAAGATTTCTATTGTTTTAGCCACTGTGAACTTGACCCTTGACCTTTTGGCCCCAAATGCAAAAGGCTTCTTAGGATTGCCAAGAACAATCCACAAACCAAATTTGAAGTTCACATGTAAAGTATTTCTCAAGTTATCGCGCTGACAAGATTTCTATTGTTTTAGCCACTGTGAACTTGACCTTTGGCCTTTTGGCCCCAAATGCAAAAGGCTTCTTAGGATTACCAAGAACAATCCACAAACCAAATTTGAAGTTCATATGTTAAGTATTTCTCAAGTTATCGCGCTGACAAGATTTGTCCGGACACACACACACACCCACCCACCCACACACCCACACACCCACCCACACACCCACCCACGGAAGGACAAGGCGGAAACAGTATGCCCCTTCGGCTTCGCCGCGGGGCATAAAAATTTATATGTGAAAAAAAACCCCAAATATATAATTTTGAAATACTTGTAAGTACAATGTATGCATGGGCGTCAATCATGGGGGGGGGGGGGGGGGACAGGGGGACACTTTTTGAAGGGTGGGGGACACAATATCAAATGTCCCCCCCAAATATTTGAACTCGTGCCTCATTTACAGGGCCCTATTATGTACTACAATGTATCTTTTGCTAAGAAAATATTGGTTAAAGTGGTCAGAAATTGCCTCAGATCGCACCACAGAGCATCTAGAATCAATTTTTTTCGGGGTCCTTAAGCGGGCCCCGAACCCCACGCCTTTAGCTGAGAATATAATAGCTTATTCAATGACTTCAACCTCGAAAATGATGTTTAAATCATTATCTTTCGCTCAGAAAATATTGGTTAAAGTGGTCAGAAATTGCCTCAGATCACACCACATGAGCATCTAGAATCCGAATTTTTTCGGGGCCCTTAAGCGGGCCCCGAACCCCACGCTGTAAGGGCTTCGCACTTGCACTATTTCTGATCAAGTTATGGTCCCCCCCCCCCACTTTTGAGAAGCGATTGACGCCTCTGAATGTATGTGATAAAGTTCCTCCTGTAATGTGTACAAGTGCAGTGGCTGATCTACCCAGCAGTGATCAAACTGTTCTCAAATAAGGCCACTTTTCATCTGTGAGACCAATACCCACCCCACATTCTTCCATATGAGAGCTATAATCAGGGTTAATTGGGTTCTGCTGTAGGTACAAGATTCATGATGTTTTTAATTGTCACAATTCCGGGGGGGGGGGGGGGGGGGGGGGACATACTATAAAGAAGAACTATGGCATACGAGTTAGCAAGGGAAAATACATTTTGTTATTTTGTTTCTCCAACAGATGAAATGTGCTTCTTTAATAGCTATGGCAAGAAAGAATGCATAGAAATACCAGAATGGTAGATAGATGCATCACGCGCACAATTACGTGGGTAAAACACATTAGCGTGTGATTCAGCCTGTGAACCAACACACGTCTGTACTCCATCCATTTGCACTACATTTCCCGGTGCAAAATGACGTCACACTTTGGTACTCTATTGTAGGACAGGACGTAGGGGAAAATATAAGGAGACATGAGTATTTAAGTAAACATTTATGAATAAACATTTATGTAAAATGTAGTAAAAAGTTAGCAGAAATATTCATTTACCTACATTAAATAACACGTACAAAGAAACAAAAACACTGCGACTTTAACCCTTGTTACAACTGATAATGTAGTAACCAACGGATAATCTATCACCAACCGATAATGTCACAAAAATTAACCGATACTGTATCACTAACCGATAATGTAACAAAAAATGACTGATAGCGTAGTAAATTGTACTACACTACCGGTCAATTTTTGTCACATTATCGGCTAGTGATACAGTATCGGTTAAGTTTTGTGACATTATCGGTTGGTGATAGATTATCTGTTGGTTACTACATTATCAGTAGGAACCATACCCATCCTGGCAAATTCCAACACCGTATGGGAAACTGCACACACATATTTCTGACTTTGATTCTGGAGGTGTGCCAACCCAATGTAACAGACTGTCAGTTTACTGTACCCATCCTGACAGATTCCAACAAAACATGCCGTCGGGGTTTAATGGGTTGAGTTCTCTCAGGGTTAAGCTCATTTTGTGACGACTTGTCACATAATTGCAAACTCTGTATAATGCAACGGATTTACACTGTTGTTTTTTAGCCACAGATTTGGTTTGAGAAGGTCCTCACGATTTCTGTATGCAAATGGTGGAGGGTTCTTTCTTAATGCTTAAATTCAACATTAATTCCTCTCTTCCAAGTTATTACAACGGGGAGACATTTGCACCATGGTTAAAACATTGGTTTATTTGTTGCACTTGATTTGTGTAGAACAATGTAATTCTTAGTTGTATCATCTTATATCTCCATTGAAAAAAATATCCAATAAAATGTTTTGTGATTCATTCTTTGTCAAGGAACACACGTTTACATTTGATGTGATTGATATGTGTGCCCATGTTAAGAGTACCGGTACCTGAAAATGATTGTGACTATAATTAGTGTGATAAGAAAGTTTATTCAATCATTTTGGAGTTTCTCTGCCTTTACCCCTTCCCCCTCCCTCCCCACATGGTATCCACGGTCCTCTGAACTTAGCATCAACGGTCCACTGAACTTAGCATCAACGGTCCACTGAACTTAGCATCAACGGTCCTCTGAACTTAGCATCAACGGTCCGCTGAACTAAGCATCCACAACTCTGACAAATAGTGCTCATAAATACTTTCAACTTACAATTTGTAGTTGAGAATCTGCCCAACTTTCTCCTTGGAGGGATCTGACGACAAGACAGAGGGGATATTTGGCTCGGGGTGGGGGACCCATGCTGGCCTGTATCTGGGTGTCTGTCACACTGTGTGGCAGCGACAGAGATATCTCGGTCTCGGTCTCAGCAGCTAAGCTGCTCAAACAAGTTAAGGATTTACTCTCAAATAAATCTCAAGTAGGCGAAATATTTTACTTTTTTTGTTCAACCAATTTTCAAATGGACAAAAAAATTCACTAACTTGGGATTCGCACCTCTGACCTCCAAATTACAATACTGGTCACAATTTCATGGCGCTGCTATAAAGCACACGATTTTCTGCTAACAGGGCCTCCATCTGTTTCATGGAGACTGTAAACAGTAAGCACACAAAAGCACGCTTACCTCCAATAGGAATCTCCATGCATACGCAATCATTAGCCATGAAATCCACGCTATGAAATAGTGCTTAAAGGGACACTAGGTCCTGGAACAGCCCAATTGGGCTACAAAACGCGCTTTAAACAAGATGATGTTAATCGGAAATAACATTTAAAAGTAGGATATAAACATCCACACAGCTATCCTTTCAAAACTGGGCGTTTTTGTGTTATTCCGGTATTATGCGTGTGAGAACGAATTTCGGGGTCCACTTTTGCAACCCCATAAAATCTAGCTGTTTGGACGCTAGTCTTTTGTCGGGAACGGTAAGACATTAGGTTGGTTTCCTTTCAACCAGATGTTTGAAATAGTCTAAGTAAACAATCCAAAACATAAAATTTTCTGGGATTTCAGGACCTAGTGCCCCTTTAAGGTTAGCACAAATTGCTGCTAAAGTAAGCACAACTTTTCTGCTAACTGTTAAGCAGCACCATGAAATTGGGCCCTGGTTATTTAGTGCTGATTTTAGTCAATTTCCTTGGGAAAAAAAAGGACATTATTAATATCAGATTTGTAATCTATTAACACAAATCAATCGGAAATCTATCACAAGTCAAATCAGGAGATGAATAGTGCCATAAGGATATACAAATGTATGCCTTTGACATTATTCATTGGAACAGCTCGTCTCAAAACTTGAGATTGGATGACTTGTGATTGACACGCGATGAGCTGACTGCAACTATTGTTAATTACCAACAAACGTTCCTCCTGGCAGCTGCGGAAAATTTGAAAAGGAGGGGCTGGCCTGGGCTGGGCGCGAATTTTCTTTTCCCAAACGACATCCGCATACATGGTTGTCTAGCGCCCTGTACGATACTTTTGTGATACGTATGCAGGTATATTATTATTATTTTCCCCTCATTTCGTCGAGCAGTGCGGTACCTCAGTTGATACACGGGAGGATTTTGTACCGCGGGGTTGCGGGTTCGAATCTCGGTTTTGCACCCGATTTTTTTTTTCTTTTCTAATCTGAGGCTTTGGAGGATTTTTTTTAAAGGGAAATGAAGTCTGAATTTCAAAATGCTGGAAATCATTTTTTTTTTCTAATTTCATATTTTCTTCTCCTGTTTTTAGAAAAGTTAAGTCCAAAACGCCATAGCGTACACCCATATGCGGATGTCGTTTGGGAGAAAAAAATTTGCGGCCTGGGGTGGCCTGGGCTGGCCTGGGCGGAAAATTTTTTTCCAAATGACATAAGCAAATGGGGTGTATGCTTTGAGGTTTTGGACTTTACTTCCCTAAAAAAAAGAGGGAAAAAATGTATAAAAGAAAAAAAAGAAATGAATTCGAACGTAATGAAATTCAGACTTTATTTCCCTTTTTAAAAAAATCTTCCAAAAGCTGCACCTCCTCCGATCTCAAAACCATGGCTTTATCCAGCTGAGCCATCGGAGAGCTCGACAGTCAACCATAATTCATGGCATTATATACCTGGGTATGTATAGAAAAAGTGTCGTAGAGGGCGCTCAACAACCATTCATACGATGTTGTTTGGGAAAAAATTATTTGCGGGCTGGCCTGGGCTGACGCAAGGGCGTGTGCCCTTGAGCAAGGCACTTTGTCACTCATGGCTTCTCTCCACCCAGAAGTAAATGGGTACCTGTGAGGGCAGAGATGGTTATTGTGATTGAATAAGCTTGCTTGCGCCTAACAGGCAGCATCGGGCTGTATACTCCCCAGGGAGCTGAGATGGTATTTGGAATGTTTAATTGGCCCAATGATCAGGAGTAATAATAATACTGTAAGCGCTGCGATTTAGTTTACTAATAAGAGCGCTCTTAAATGCCGATTATTATTAAAGGAACAATAATAAGCACTGAACAGCCACCTTTAATGTCCCATCCAAACAGTTTCTACTGTAAGGGAATAACACTAACAGTGTGATGGAGCTGTTATGAATGTGTGGTTTAAAACCGGGTAGCGGCTTGGCCACGGGGCCTGGCCACCGATATTGGCCGGAGCCAAAGGCGAGGGCTATTACCAGCGTCCAGGACCATAACTGCTCCATCACACTATTATCCTTTTTTTTTTGGTTAAAAACCATAAAAAGTCCAAAAAATCGACAAACTTCTGACGAGTTTTGTTCTACCATTTTACTCCATGTCTGGGACTTTCTATGGGGCGCGCAACGCACGCAGGTGGACACCTCTCCTTATACGGAGATCATATTAGTCTCAAGCCAGCAGAGCACGTGGCAGGTACTGTGGTCATGTGACACAAAGTGCGGGTGCTCGCGACTGGATTGAGACATCAATGGCCAGTGTTTTACCGGCAGCTCAAAACCACCCACGCGACGGGCTCTCGACCAATAGGAATGGGTAAACTGTCTCAGGTATTTACATATAACTTGCATTATTAACTAGGGGTTAAGGACTTTAACCCCCATAAAAACAAGTCCTTAGCCAAACTTGGGCAGAGATAGCAGACTGGGTGGGGAGGGGAGGATAAAATGTGGGACAAATGCCCCTTCGCCCCAATGTTGCACCACCATAGCTATGAAAGTTTATATTTCTACCATTTGAGCGCATACTTGGAAAAAGGATACTTGATTGGGTGACCGTGATGTAAGAAATGACCGTGAAGACTACCGGCTGGATCTCGGAGAAGGCCGAGGCTAGCATCGCGCAGAGTTTCTTGGAGAGAGGAACAGTGTACAGCCCATAAGGATTGGAGCTCACAGCCTACCAAGGACTTCACGAGGAGTTTGACTCCATCTACAAAAATAAACACGATGATGAAGGTGTGTATCTAAATTGTCACAAAGGTCATCAATAAATGGACTCTATATCTTCTCAACAGTTACAAAGAGAAAGTTGGGAGTGATGACAAAGCCTCTTTGGCTACTGTCCGTAGACTTTAAGAAGAGCACCAAGCTGAAAATAAGCACTAAGATGGCTGAAGAAAATGCAGACTGCCTACTCCAGGGTAGTCTACGCGTGCAGATTGGGCGATTAATTATACAAAGCTAGACTGCACCTCGAGTCTTGACCTCCTGATCATTCAGCGGCCACCTAGCTTCTATCGGGTCTTTCGTAACCCGTTGTTGTATAACAAAGATGTGGCAGCAAATTGACCAATCAAGAGCTCAGGCGGAATTTCTACTCTAAATGAGGTAACAATTTCTAAAGTTGAATCCGATTGGCTGGCGCTGGGGGTCACATGTACACATATATTAGACGTTGTTGCGGAGCGTGCGGGGTCAGTTGAACATTACGGATGATACCCCAGAATAACTCCAGGGGGTGAGATTGGATGAAAAAGAAAAATCCATGACAATTGGCAGAGGGTTTGAAGGTCACTGAGGGCCCCAAAGCAACATAGGGTCTATGGTATATGTTTGTATTTGCCTAAGGGGTATCCTATAAAATACCCATCTCTTTTGTCCACTATAAAAACTTTTCAACCTGGGGAATTCCCGATTTCAAAAGGGATTCTTTATCAATCCTAAAATAATGAAACATCTCCCCCCCCCCCCCCAAATAAAAAATCCTACAATTCGGAAAAATCAGATTTGGGGATTTGGTGCCAGGTAAGATAACTAAGTACAGGCACTCACCTCTGACAGAAGCAGCATCGGGGTTGAGAATTTTGATAGCAAAAGGATTTCTTGTCCCCACCATAGGCAGTTCAGGTACAATTGGAGCTTGCGCTTGGGTAAAAGGGGAATCGATGATGGTCATTCTAGAAGAGGAGAAAAACACAACACGTTAAATACTACAAGCAATTAATAATGTTATGCCTGAATTATGGTGGCACAACAAAAACAAAAGGGTTATTTCTAGCTAAAAGGTCACAGTTTCACAGGTCACAAAAGAGATATTTTAATAATTCCACATGTTATGAATATGTACACGTATGCTATATTTGATAAACTTCAAATCCCTAGTCCTCAAGTTGCAATGTAAATCGTAAGCAATTTTATTGCGATGGCGTACTTAAAGTTAAACGATTCCCACAAACTCATCACTTAAAGGGACTGTACATCATTGGCTTTTGCTGTAATTTTCAGAAATAAACTGTTTGAGGGGTTAGTATAATAGATCAAATATTGTTACACTGACATGTTTGAAGTTTTGTGTTCGGAAATGCTGGAAAAACCAAGAAAAACAAGAATGTTCAAAGATAAAATGGATCAATTTATAGTTGCCCGGAAAATTGTAAGGTAAGGGAACCAGTGTAGCTGGCCTGCACCCTTTCATGAACATGTAACCAATAGCAAACAAAATTTGGACTGAAAAAAAGGTAAATTTGGAGCAGTAGTTGAAAAATGGTTAGGTTTTTCCAACGGTGGTCGACTGACCACCGTTGGAAATGTATACAAAAATAAATTGGGGGTGAAATCTGAAGATTTTGATAGGGGGTACGTGTGAAAATGGTAAAAAAAAGTTATTAGTAACGCAATAACGCTATGTACCTAGGACTCTACTATCGCCCGACCATGTCCAAATGTTAAAAAAAGGCGATTCGTAGAGTCCTAGTTACTCGGACTACCCAGTTACTAAGTTATAGGCCTAGTGGGACTAACCATTGGTTTCAATGTCGAACCAGGCCAAGTCAGTTTGAATCTCATTTAATATAGTTGAAAAGACAGGAATCTGTAAGGAAAATACTTGGAAAAATTCAGCTACCCGATCACCACTTTTTTCAATTAATTTTCTAGCGCCAAAAGTTACATCTTTTATGGTTATTCCCTCCACTTTCCCTCCTCTACTCTCACCCTCTCCTTTCCTTAATTTCTATTTATTAATCAGTCAGTTACTTCATCGAGATTCGAACCTCGGACACTTGCTTGATACACGAGACTCTTAACCGCTAGGCCGCGCTCGATCGCTGTTGCAATGATCTATCTTTGGACGTGTTTGAAGTATCCACTGAAATAAACTAAATACGAAGTGGCTATCGTTACGGCAGTCGTTGTTAAGCGCCCTCTACGATACTTTTTTGATACGCACGCAGGTATATAATTATTTGTTTCCACATGTTTTAGCGAGCAGTGCGACAGCTCAGTCAATAGAGGGTAGGATTTTGCACCGCGAGGTTGCGGGTTCGCATCTCAGTTTTGCATTCGAATTTTTTTCCTTTTTTAACCTGAGGCTTTGGAGGATTTTTTTTAAAAGGGAAATAAAGTCCGAATTTCATAACGTTCAAATTCACTTTTTTTCTTCTAATTTTATATTTTCTTGTCATGTTTTTATAAAAGTTGCAATCTACCGTAACGATAGAAAATGGGAAATGCGTTACGGCTGCCGTAACAATAGCCACTGCGAACTAAATATTCATGAGAAAATAAATATTCATAATGACGTATTGCACTATCATTGGCCGGCTCATGCGACGTCATGGTTATCGATGTCATGCGTATAACGTACCGCTGTTCCAGACACTTCAATCAGTTTTGACCGGCTGCTTCAACTCAGATCTGCACTACATGTGCATGCAAAATGTGCTCTAAAAACACATTTTTACTAAAAAAATTTCGCATGTCCGCTGTTTCCTGGATTCCTCTTGGTTGAAATCACAAGGTGAGGTGAAAATGTATTTGTTTGGCGGCAGGTAAGTGGTGATCGGGTATCCGATTTTTCCCGGAAATACTTGTAAAATGAAGATTTTCGTTAGAAAATGAAAATGCACTCGACAAATACACAACCAACATGGCCAAAGAAGTGGCGTCTGACGTCTGGAAATTTTCTTTCCAGTTTACAACAAACCTTGGAAAAACGAACATCGCCGTCAGCATACAAGCGATTAAAATACAAATACAGAACGATGCTGTAACATCCTCTGCCTCTATAACAAATATTTCTTCGGGCATGTTGAGATTCATGCTGCAGGGCAGGCCTATTTTTGGAATGAAAAAAAGAAGAACATCGGCATACGTTTTTTGACACTCGTCAACATAACTCAGACAGGTTCAATCCTGGTGGAGTTCAGTTTGCGTGTGTAGGAGTCTGGGTACCCGTTGAAGGTAAAATGGGGTCAACGTTCGCAGAGAAAACAATGTGGGGAATCCCCGTGTGATTAATGGCTGGTAAAAATAACGTGATAGAGGGCGCACAATGTGCTTTTAATAGATCACAACCATGATCAAAACATATTAGTATTTGAAATGAAAACTCCACCAAGTTTCCACCGCGAAAAAGAACATAGGACATTTGGAGTATCTGAAAAAAACGTCCAGAAATAGACAATAGACACTCCCACCAAAAAAAGGTGTTTTTTTCCTGTTAAATAAAACATGAAAATTGAAAATTTGTCAGGAGAAAAAAATCGAATAAGCTGAAGAGCACGGGTTGAGCCTACATAATTTATAAGAGCAACTTCAATTAAAGGGTCCGCTATCCGTGAAATGATTTTTTTTCTGAGGAACTTATATATTTGTGCAACTTTCTTCTCCTCTTGAATATACGAAAACTATTTGCCATCCCGTTTTGGTTAATTTTATTGAAAAATGCACTTCTTTAAACATTTTAAAATTGTCCATGCTTTTCCGGACAACTGTGAGGACGTTGTTGCCGCGATGTCATTTCAGGAAGACACTGTTCAGTTCAGGGTTTTCTGCATGTTCAAATTGTGAACCCAAAAAGTTGCTCATTGAAAACATAATTTTTTTATGTGAGAAATTCTGGCAACTGTTTGTAAATGATATCACACTTTTGCTCATGAATATGTAAATTTTCATTAGCATAAATACCAACAAAGCACAAAATACCCTTTAAAATGGCAAACCGAAAATGTAAAAAAAAGGTTAAATGGGAAAGAAAGGTGCAATTTCAAGCAAGGCATAAAACAAATTAAATTGCACGATGGGCCCTTTAGCAATTGCATGCATAATATTATTTAGCCCGTGACTACAGATAAATACATGTAGAGAATTATTGAGAGTTTCTTTGATATTTTATTGTTAATTAGAATCCGACGTGCGGTTGTTTAGAATCTGGATATGACACACAAGGAATGGATGGCATTGAACTTGATTAGTCCGAAGCAGCGAGACTATATAAATACTGTCTAATAACAGTCTAACTAGACCTATTATAGCGCGCGAAGTATAGCCTCTCGGTAATTACAGTGCACAGTATTTTTTTTTTTTATGAAGGAAGCAGTCCTGCTAATATATGTAAAAGATGCATGGTTTATTTTGTTTCGTCAATTTGCAATTCGTGAAAATACAAGAAGGCGCCTGTATGCATGGTTGCAACATTATGGGTTTCTTTAACACTGGTGGTATCTGGTTTTTACCTGATTGGTATAACCTGGACGATGGCACCTTTTCCCCAATGTCGCCAAAACCTATAAGAAAACCTGCCAAATCAAACCTTTTTTTGAGGGGGCCGGGGAGGAGCAACTTTTTTTCAACGATAAATTACAGACAGATCGACGCGATGTACCATCAACCGTCTTTCAAGCTTACGATCTTGAAAACTGAGATCTGTGTCTCTTCTACCGCAAGGGCGGGTGTTGATCCAGAACGCATTTTTTTTTGGGGAGGGGGGTCCCCCAAAAAGTGGGTCCAAAAATGCGGCGTGGGGATCGGGGCCCGCTTAAGGGCCCGGAAATTTGTTTTTGGATTCTATAGATGCTTTGTAATGTGATCGAAGCAATTTCTGACCACTTTAACCAATTTTTTTTTTTAGTAAAACATGTTGTACCCATTGCCTGCCTTTATTGCGACGTCACTTGAAGAAAAAAAATGGGCTTCGGTTTTTTTTGGGGGGGGGATGGGGGGTGGCCCCCATTTGCCCTTCTCCTCCCCCCCCCTCCCCCCGATCCGCCCTTGTTCTACCGGCATAGAAACGACATCGTTGGTCTTTTACAATTACAAAAAAATGAACATTTTTATTTACTGGAATGCAAAACTATCTCCATTATTCTCAAAGCGAAAATAAATGAACATAATGGGCCTGTCATGTTATACACGGACTGCGTAGGCCTACACCCCTTCTTTTGTCCACCACGTAGGCATTTATTTTTGCGCTTAAAGCTGTGCATTTTGAGTAACAAAATTGCTAGAAATATTAAGCAGGATGAAACATTTTTATATAGCCTGCTGAAGTGTAACAGTTCAGTAGCTTCTATACAGTGAAAACATTATGCACAACGGGTCTCATAACCGTGCATGCCGTTGCTGAAGCGCGTACATAAAAATATGCCCGCCGGCACACTTTTAAAAACCACCTTCAATTATTGCTTGAAAAAAACATTTCTGGCAAAATAATTTCACGGGGGATCCGCCCTACCTATTCAAGTTTTTTTTTTCCAGTTGGTATAGGTGGATTTCCGGGTAATCACCAAATTAAACGATTATGCCTAATTGTTAAAGAAAAAACACGGAATCAACAAAAAGGATTTGTTTTAGCATAACTTATCTCTGCACTAATACGTTCGATCATAAGTCACCAAGAGAAATGCGGCAAATATTGTGGGACGTGACATCATTGACAATTTGAAAATGAAATAGGCCGATGAGACGAGATATAGGTTTATTTCTTAAAAAGGAGAGTCTAATGCATATCATAACGGGCTGCCGACTAGTTTACCCCTCATATACAAACTATAGCATTCCACAGCATACAGTAGTTGACATTACATCCAATCATCTTACTATTACCCCACACCGACGGTATTTCACTTATGCAACTTTTGCACCCGTGCTAACCCAGCAATTATTCGCTGAATTCTTCAAGGAATCTTCTGGAACATTGTTGCTGCATTTCGTCGGAACTTCGCACGGTGTATACTCAGATCTGAACTATTCCACAAATGTAGTTATATTGCTCTTGTACTATTTCACAAATGTGGCGTTTTCTTAATGACATTGGATTGTATATAGGAGTTACAAATGTTTTCGGAATTTCGGATGGAATGTTAAATAAAAAAATGTTTGAACCAGAAATGACAATTTTATGGCGGAGGCTGAACATGACGTTCTAAAAGAACATATTGCCTTCCTCTATTTTTCCCTCATTAAAATCGGATTTTCTTTTTCAACAGAGATTGAAATTGCCGCTTGCATGCCGGCCAGTTTCTGACAAAGAAACGTCCCTGGAACATTAACACACGCAGCATCTGGGTTGAGCAAAAAGGAATATTGGGCTAAATTAGGGAATTGTTTTGAGTTCCCAACTTAAATGAGAGAATGATGTGAGTAGATGAGATTCAAGATTGGGGAAGGCCGGTAAGCCGCACGACCGACAGCCGCCCAATAAGCTGGAGAATTAAACTTAAAAGACAAATGCTTAGAGAATATTAAATGAAGTGTCGAAGTTTATGACGTAGAGGTTTTGCCTCGGATGAAAAAAAAAACTTCAGCATGGGCGTCACCTGACTAAAACAAAGTAGCACTTCATTATGCATTATAGGCCTACCTCAAAACTACTGCTGCACATGATTATGAGCTCTAAATACATGAACCCCATTGGTGGAGCTTTGTAAGACATTTTGGCAATGATTTTTTCCTTTAATTTGAAGCCATTCTAAGACAAGTTTATTCATACATTTTAAACATTTATCATGTTTTCCATGCGCACTTTCCCGCGTTCCTCCTGCCCTACATAGGTTCTAATTTTTCAGACCAAAAACCCCTCCACCTCATCTGTAATTCCCAGTGAGTTTGTTTGTTTTGTTTGATCCTTTTTGAAAATTTCATTAGAACAGAAAACCCTTAGTTTTATGATAACACAGATAGGTGGTGCTTAATTTGAGCCTTAATTAACTTATTTATTACGTACGGTATAAAAATTATGTTTCAGCAGCTACCAGAGGGCGCAATTTTAAACTTTTAACTTTCGGTTTTATCAGTAAGAATCCACAGAAAAACGTCAATTCACTCAACGTCAATTTATTACACAAATTTCAATAAAATCATTTAATATGTAACAATTTGTTTGCTACTGAAGTAAAAGTACATTTCAGATGATATGCCAAAAAGAAAGACAGAACGGGAAACATTCCGTGAGCGTTTAATAATCCGCGGGTAATATAATATAATGCGTTATGTACTGTACATGTAGCTCTTCCGCCAAGCCACCCTCACATTGACATTCCGTACACCCCTCTAAGAGAGAATGATACAGCCCAAAATACGGGCGCGGCCATATTTGGTGAATTTACTTCCTTTACAGCAAACAGGGACCGATTTACTGAAGGTGGCATTTAAAATTATTTCGCGATTCATAACCAAGAGATATATTTTCTAATTTTAAGCCATTTTTGTCCACATACATCTCATAAATATATTCAAGTATGCTAAAAGAGGATAAATATTTCTAATTCGACCCAATATCGAGCTGTTGGAGGAAAATAGTATCAGTTATTGGATCTATTTTGCTTTGCGAACGCCCACAATTTAGCGTGCTTCGGCATTACCATTTTAAGAGCTAAGAAATCTACATTTGGGCAGTGGATATTCCCGGGAATTCTCAAAACAATTTTGAGCATGAAAAGGGGGATACCGACTTCCACAGAAGGAGCAATGAATACCGTCAGCTTCCTAGCCCAACAAACCGGGCTGCCGAACAACGGATCAAATGTGCCAGGCTTCGTCAACGGTGACAAGCGGCCACGGGCCGAAATGGAAGGGGTACCGGGTGGATTCACGCAGTTTAACCCCCAACTGGAGATTGACGAAGCCGACCACGAAGATTTGTCGGACGATGACAGTTCCGTCGGAAGTCCCAACGCCAAGAAGTCGAAAAAGACCAAAGGAAGGGTCAAGATCAAGATGGAATTTATTGAAAACAAGCTCCGCAGATACACCACATTCAGCAAGAGAAAGACGGGCATCATGAAAAAGGTAATTTTGCCGTTGCTGTTTCATGAATGAGAGGTGACATTCACAAATCACAGCACGGGCGAAGTTTTTCAAGTTCAACTCAAAATATTGTGCATAGGCTAAGTGTGTGTTTTACCTTGGAGAAAACATTTAACTTTATTTTTAATGCAACTCATTACTTAATGCAATGCAGGCCTGTTGTTGGACTCGTGAACGTGGCTATAAAGACTCACGAGTCTAGCTTGTTTTTATGAGTAGAGAAGAAGAAAAGAAGTTACAATGTAGGGCCTATGCATTTTTTTTCAAGAGTTAATAGGCAACAGTTAAAAAACAATTTGTTCTTGTTATTGTAACTTTTTGTGTGGGCCTGTTTATTGTTTTGATTGATTGATTAATAATAGAATGATAAGGTGTTTCATGGTAATATGCGCCATCTTGTTCACAGGGCAAAAAGAACTCGTTACTCAGTCTTATTATGTACGCCCAATATTTAGCATCCATGCTGAACAGTTAAGGGAAATATTTGAGTTTTGATTTATACTGTTCATCATGTGTAAATTAGGGGCCTACGATTTATAAAGTTTTAAATCTCATGTTTCTTCATAATACGACAGGCTCTACCTATCCAAAATGTTTTATTTGGGTAGAGACTTCAGTCCTTATTTCATTATAAGAATTGGGCTCTGCAGTGAATGATTGTCAGACTAAACTTCAATTGGCAATATGGAAAGAACAAATTAAAAAAATAAAATAAATATGAGCCCTACTACCCATTTTACAATGCGTCTGGAAATCCAGTCCCTGTGAAGACATTGCGTTTTTCTTTAGCATACATGTACCTGAACATGTACATGTATGTTAGAAATCTGATTAAAATAATCAAACATAAAATTCCACCTCAACATGCGATTGTGAAAGACATGTTAGTTTCCTTTTTCAAAAGGTGAGATTTATGTGATGTCAATTGCTTAAAACCAGGAGTAAATGCAGGCATTAAAACAATGCATGTCTGCCATTGTAACCCCCCACCACCACCACCCCCCCAAAAAAAATTGAAAAAAAAAAAACCTGCATGTTTGGTATTCTTCTACGTAATTGGTAATTGGTTGCAGAAACTGGTATCTTTTTAGCCCTAACAGTCCTGAATCCTCAATTTTTTTGAGTATAAATTGAAGCAAGCATAGAAGGGTATGATGGAGCAGCAGTGTACACTCATGAGGCTGTCTTCAATGACAAAATTATTGTGCACATGTACAAAGCAACTGCCCATAAACGAATTTCTGACAGATTACCGGTACATGTATGTGAACAATAGCTGCATTGTAGCACAGTACTTTCCCATTGATGCGTGCCTCCATTGATGTGGGCCTCCAACAATGGTTGGGACTTGGAAATTTATACATATGTACATCATAACATGTAGTTGGGGCATTCCTTACTGTAGTTGGGGCAGTCCTAACTACATGCCCGGATTGGACAACATGAACACACATAAAAATGAAAAGCCTGACATTGTTACTGTTAGAGAGGCATTAAGTAATATGTAAATCCTGAACTCCGCTTAAAACGCTTAATTTACTGTGGTTCTGGTTAACATTGTACTACACGTATGTAGATAGCTTCTGTGCACACAAGACATCATAAGCCAAAAGGAAGTCCATGTATGTACATGTATGTTTTCAGATCTGAATGTTCAGTGTGCATCATAGTTTTGTTTGAATTTAAATGTTTAGTGCATAACTTTGATTTATGACCAAACTTAGCTGCTGATCAATACTAAAAGTCCTTTTCAATTGGTCCTTTATACAGGCTTACGAGCTGTCGACGCTGACCGGTACCCAAGTCATGCTGCTGGTCGCCAGCGAGACGGGCCACGTCTACACGTTTGCCACCCGCAAGCTGCAGCCCATGATCACCAGCGAGAGCGGCAAGGCACTGATTCAGACTTGCCTGAATTCCCCTGATCCGGCCACCGCGGCTCATCACAACCACAACCCCGACCAGCGGATGAGCGCTACGGGATTCGAGGAAACCGAGTTGACGTACCAGGTCACCGAGGAAGAACTAGCAAAGGTGGGTCATTGAAAAAAATATTTAATTAATTAAAAAGTGAGGAAAAAATATTTAATAATTTTTTTTCCACTGACATTTACAACTCGGTAACAAAATTCTACGATTTTTTTTTTATGAAAAACAAAAACTACTCAGATCCATGTTAATTGAGATTTAAATGTTCACATTCACCATTATTTACATATTACAACTGTATGCAAACTTTACCAAATCCAAAAAAACATGTGTTTTGCCCTTTGTTTTTAACACTTGCATCATTTGATGATGCTGCAAACACATTGGAGTTTTTGTACATGTACATGTACACGTGATCTTGAACAATAAAAAAATGAATATTTTTTTGTCAACAAATCATGTTCCAAAGCCAATGTACATTTTAATTTAGCTTCAAATAAAGATGATTCAACTTCCTAGAAAATAAACTCACAACAAATCTATTTTTTTCTTTGTCCCCCATAAATTGAAATATATATAATTAAAATGCAAAAGTTTTACTTGTAAATCACTACATACATGTAGTACATTGTTGTTACAGGCTACTGAATTTTTTTAAAGAGTGAGTTTGCCCCACGTGCTAGACTGCCAAACAATTGACTACATGTACATGTACTGGTAAGTGTACACATGTGTTTGTAGTGTGCATGTGTCTGGAGCCTTCATTCAGAAAGTTCAAGGGGTTTCCATCTGCCATATAAGGGGTGGCTCACCCTCATGACCTGCCATGTTTAGGCCCAGACATTCCATATAAGATTCCTGCGTGTGGGTGCCCTGGGGCCTGGCACGCGCGCAGCAGTTCTTAAAGGGTAAAACACTTCCATATATGGAAGGTACTTGGCAGCCAGCTTGCTCTTGGGCTGGTATTATGTGACAACACAGCTGTGTGGGCATGTTTTTGTTTGAGGGCAGACTGGCACGTGCCTTCCTTGGATGGGTATTAGACACTATGGCAGTAAAAGAGGTCTGGACCAACAATATCTGAGTGACCGAGACAATTTGATTGTCTGGGTTTTTTTTAATTGATTTTCACAGTTTGGTACATTGCCTCTGAGGATGTTGCAAAAAAATGTTCACTCATGCACAGTGGTCTACACCTTGACGGAGTATCAAAAAAATGTAGTCATTTTACAGCTTTTGTTTTTGTCTGGGAGGGATTTTTGTTATTGAGCAATTGTTATCTTTGAGTGGGTGGCGTAAGTGAATTGATTACGTTTGGAGTTGCAAACATTCTGTCACTAGACGATGCCTACAAGTTGTATGCTCAATACAGATGGGTGGAATTTGGACTTGACAGATAATTTGCATATTGTCCTATTTTTCACCCGTCAGCTATATTTTCATTGTATTAGTGGAAAGGATGTTATAAATATAATGAACATGTTGGCTTTTTGCACAAAAATTGTTAAAAACAGAAACCTTTTTTTTTGACATGCACATCATACTGTACATGTAGTTGGAAAACTTTTCTCACCCCTGTACTTGTGTGAATAAACATATAATCAAATGATTAAGGCAGAATGATATTGATGATTAATATTCCTAAATAAAAACAAATTACATAAATTTATTTAAAAGCAGGATTTGAACGTGCATCCGGTATATCTGGTTAATGCCCCTTTGTGGTTCATGAGACATTTTTTGGTGAAAAAATTTGGACAAGGAAATTAATTTGCACTACAATATATCGCAACCAGGACAAATGACATCACCTTGGATTATTCATGGATTATATGAGTAGTTGTGATGTTGTCGATGCTATGTTTTTACTCACTGAATATTTCTCACTTCCCACTTCCTTATGAAAATATTTGTCCTGAATGCCACACGGACTTTTGTGCACACGTGGGCAGACGTGCCATATCCGAACAATAGAACAACAGTGACGAGCAACTTTGTTGTCTAAAACCAGTTCCTGCAAAGTGTTGGCATGACCTATGGTTATTAGGGTTTACAGTGATTTTTTTATGACTGGGCATTGTAGCCATTGTCAAAGTGCCTTTTAGCCCTTTTTTTGTACCAAATATAAACCAACATCATACTGCAGTTTTCAGAATCTATAGATAAATGTTTAATGTTAATTCCTTAATGGGCCCATGTTAATTTTTTTTAAATGCAGTCCTTGTAAATGAACCATTGTGTCCCATGTAAAGCTACAGTCCATCATTTGCAGCTATCCAAAAAGTAGCTGACGTAATTACTGTTGAAAAACATACTTGGCTGAAAGATAGTAAGGGGACTAAACTCCCTGTGAAATGATTCTTTCTGGCAATCTGTCATTCTGAAGAAATCAACGACAGAAGGCCTTTCCGACGGTGCGTCTTAAGACGCACTGTTGGAAATTTCTGTTAGTAGTTTTTTTTAATCAGCGAAACGTGCGCAAGCGTTGGCACGACGCACACGCTCACGCGGTTGCTCTAATTTGTCGGATCGGTGCGTGACATTGTGTAGCTGCAATCAGCTCAGTGAGAACGTGTCTCGGACGTTGAATTCAGGCCCAATTCAAAACATGATTCAGCAACTTTGATTTGAAATCGAGATCCTAGAATTCAGTTTTTCTCAAAATATACAGCTGAAGCTGAGTTGAAATTTCATCAGGCTAGTTGTTCAGCACCCTTCTTTAGATTTTGAGCACATTTGTTGCTTTAAACGAACAAAATGCACAAATTACAAATGATGGACTATACCTTTAACCTTATTTTCAATTTTCATTTTTGCCATTTTAAAGGGAATTTTGGTGCCTTGTTGGTTTTAAACATTTTTTTTAAGCTAATGCAAATTTGCATATTCATGAGCAAAAGTGTGATGTCATTTCAAGTAGACAGTGTAGACGCCACAATGTTACAGCTACACGTATTTCAGCACCAAAATTTGCCAGAATTTTGGATATTTAGCTGTCGTAAATTTTCTGTTCTTTGGTGATTCGTCATCGTTTCAGTACACGACAGCAGGCCAATGAGCAATGTTTTCGAGGAGCAAATTTGGCGTTCACAATTTTTAGGGCAAAACCCCTAAACTGAACAGTGTCTTTCTGAAATGACATTACAGCAACAGCGCCCTTATTAGTCAGGAAAAGCATGGACAATTTTAAATGTTTAACCCTAACCTCCCCAACTTTATCAAAATCCATACCCGTTGTGGTGGATTTCTACAGATATACAAGTCCAAGTTTCCTACAGATATTTTCATTTTAGTACAGCCATGGTGCTTTTGTTGTTGAATGTTTTCCGATATTTTGTAATATATGGAGCATGTTTGTTTATATGGCATGTTTTAAATTTTGGCACGGTACCCTTGGAAGAGCTTTCGACGTCCAGGAAGCACATCAAGGGGAAATGACTGGGACTGGTAGGAGTCCCAACTTCCGATTGAATCATAGTTGGGGTACGTGCATAGAATTTGTCACGTACTGTACATGTACATCGTAAATTTGGAGTTTGCTTTGAAGTTCATTCAGTATTTTGTCCAGTTGTTAAATAATTTAATTTTTTTAACCTTTTTTTACTCTGTTTTACTACGTTTCTCCCTTTCTTTCTCTTTCTTTTAATTTGCTGGTTCTCTGTACTCCTTAGGCATCAATTAATTCAACTTTTCTAGTATGTACAAATATGTGTTCGTTCTGGAGTTGATGATGGAATCAAAATCCATTCCCAATTCACTGGAGTTGCTAAGAAAAGTGTACTCGGATAAAGTTTGCTTTGAATGCTACCTGTAAAAGTGTGATGCATATAAAGAGCAGCTTTGTGACATTTTGCTCAGTTATAGTGCCAATACAAAACAAAACAAATGATAGAACAAACACGCAGGAAGTACATGTACCGGTAGGGCAATTGGGAATGCATTGTTTAGTTTGGGCTTTTATCCAATGTTTAAAACTTAAGTTATCAACAGTACTGCATGTGCCCTGCATCAGGTGGACTGTTCCATTGTACTCGGAGGGAATATCCATTTCAGTCTTTAACCATGTGCAGCTGCACTGAAGTAAAGAGCCATGAGATTTTTTTAAGCCACAAGGGCATAAGATGTATGTACAGTGTACAAACCGGAAAACCAAAAATATGATGTCATGCACTATAAATAGCTCCAACCTCAAGTGTAAACTGGCCAGCTGAGACAGGCATGTGTGGTATTCTAGTGTGACCGAACTGTTGCCATTGACGTCAAGCGGTCGGCCAATCACGTTCAGCGTGAGGCATTGGCGGCATAACTAGCGCGGTACAGGACCAGGCCGGGGCTAAAAACAGCCAGTCCGACTCCCGAATCTTCCCGGGCTTTGCTGAGTTATGCTGATGAGCCTTGGCCATTTATGCCGGCGACGTCTCCAAATATGCCAGATATTCCTAACGCCGTGTCCAAGTATGGCCGGGCCTTGCCATAAATGGGATGGGACGGAAGCATTCCAGCGAGGTGGACTGGACGCACATTGTTGTCTACGGACCGTCATGCGTATTCCATTCTTTGGAACGAGACGAGATTCCGAAGGGCTCCGTTAAGCCAATATTTTACGTATGTGTATACACGTGTGTTTGTAAGGAATTTTGAATAGTCTTATTGAACTCTTCAATTGGAGACTAATTTACAGTCAACATTTCTGGTATTTCAATTTTGGCTTACCTCCAAGGAAAAACAATGTAAACATTTCAAATATTTGGCCGGTGGTTTATCTCCTAATTATTTCCATAATTTTATTTTCAAATAGTTGCAATAGTTTGATGTCAGATTAAGATTATTTAGTTATTGCATTCTAAATTCCTGTGCGATAAGTTCTTACAAATTTTTTTTTCCAAATCGTGGAGTATCACTTCAGATCCATGGACCAATTGGTATTGATTTTACATTTGAGGGATATCCTCAATTATTTTTTCAGGCGGTTGTCAACACTTTCGGTTAAAATGCAAAACTTGTCATCGTCTGTGATTAGTTTGAGATGAGATGAGGTGCAGGAAAATTTTAATCAATTTAATTCTATTTCTATATGGAACAAAAATGGCTTAGAAGGGAAAAGTTAATTTTATTTGCCAAAATCACTTCAACATTGCTCAGAGCAGAATGCACCAGAGAGCATCTGAGATCAAGAATTTCCCCTGTCCAGTTTTGTGCCCTTTTATTTTCTCAAAATGTCTCCTCTCCTCAAGTGACCAACAGAAAAGAGGACCCTGGAAAATATTAAACCCTAGAGAAAAACTACAGCTGTTGGCTAGTACATGTGTGTCATTGACATTTGGCCACCGACGCCTTGCAAGCCCAGTAGTTTGGAAGTAAGACTTCTGCACTATTGAGCAGGAGATGACTTGTGATTTTTTTTTTTTCACAAGCTCCCAGAAAACATTGAGCATAAAGGTGCCTCACAGGGCAAAACACAGCATTAAAGATCAGGAAATCTGCTACCGTAGTCTAGGGGCTAGACGTTGTTATTGTTTGATACGCGATAACCCAAAGCCGCGATAACCCACCGTTGTGAGAGGGCGCTATCACTACCAACCAATATCATCCACGAAACCGTCAGAAGAACATCTAGGCCAATTCCAATTGGTTGTGTAATGCACGCGCACCTGTTTGGCCTGATATATGCAGCGCGCAATTCAAAAAATTCATAGTAGTTCCGAAGCAAACTCTCAAATTTCCTCCAGTAGTATTAAAGATGCAGCAAGACTTTTGTGCAATTTCACTGGTCAGCTCTTTTGTTGTGTGTAACGTGGGACTGAAAATGGACCGTAATTGCCTGTAGAAGTCGAGCATGCGCACTTGTTTCCCCCATTTTTCAGGGGGAGATTTTAGGAAATGTCCTAGACGTTGTTCGGACAGGTGCCTGGGTGATATTGTTTGGTTATGGCGGTGTTCATGACAGCGGGTTATCGCGTATCAAACAATAACAACGTCTAGCCCCTAGACGTATGGGAGACAGAATTTTGAGGGGACAAAAAGAGCATTCAGCCACAGTTCACACAGTGAAGCTTCATTATTACAAAGTTTTATTTTCTTCCGTGAAATTTGACAGCCAATTGATTTGAATATTATTGATCTTGACAGCAAGAGGGCAAGACGCCGATGTTCACAGTCACCAATGTGCCGGGCGCCGGGGTGGATGTATCGTCAACGGGTGTTGCATCCACACAGTCAGGTAACCAGACATCAGATGCAGGGCCGTTCTCGGCATTTTCATGCACAACTCTTACAGACTGGTCTGAAACTCAACTGAAGCCATGGCATAAAAAAATGGCACATTTAGACACTGTCTGACTGTTACCCTTCGTCATACATCTTACACTCTTCTGTGTTACACCTATTAGATTCCGGCGTGAGTATTAACCTTAGCCCTCTGACATCGTTCAAAATGACTCCATGCACAAGTACCCCCTCAACTGTTTCAATGAGAAGAGTTGGGGGAGACCACTGGGAGGGACATTTGAAGGCATTGCCGACGACACCTGATGCTCACGAGAAGATGTGACATGGCTTTGTGCACATCCAAAATAAAACTGGTTGTGCATACTTTGTGCCATATGCGTCCCAAATATCGTCGCTTTGCTCACGAAGCGACAAAAACCTGGGCTACTTGGAAACACAAAACAGATTCATGTTTATGACACTTGAGAAAAAGCAATTTACACCGTAAAGCTAAAGAGCTCACTGTACGCACTTGCATTAATTTAGCTGAATTAACTGATGTACCGGGTACAAGGGTGGATCCAGAACACAATTTTTGCGGGCCAAAAAAAAAATTTGGTCCCCCAAAAAGTGGGTCAAAGAAATTACGGCGTGGGGTTCGGGGCCCTCTTAGGGGCCCTGAAATTTTTTTGGATTCTAGATGCTCTGTTGTGCGATCTGAGGCAATTTCTGACCACTTTAACCAATGTTTTTTGAGGAAAAGATGGTGGTGTACTCATTATGATTGCCTTTATTGCGACGTCACATACAAAATAAAGAAAATTGGTTTCGTTTTTTTTGGGGGGGGGGGGGCATGGCCCCCTTTGGCCCCCCCCCCCCTGGATCCGCCCTTGACCGGGTAGTAGTAGTATCATGCAGACCTTTATGAACAATGTGGACAGCAACTTTAGGGTTGGGTTTCTTTAACGGGTACCCATGATTTTTTTTCACTCTGCCGGGTACTCGCTTCCCGTACTACTCATAAATGCACACCCCTGTTCTTGAATACAGCCCATAGTCCGTCACTATGTCCATCTAATTTGAAAACTGTTTTGTTGATCTCCACCAATCAGAATCCATTTGCCTTTCATATGTGCAGGGTTGTCCATCTCCGGAGCGGGCCACACCTATCCCATGACCACCTACCTGCCAACAGGCTCCAGCACTGCGTCCGCCGCAGGCCCTAGCAAGCCCCTCGGTATGTCAGCCAGTGAAATGCTAGCACAGGGCTTCACAACCATACTACCACAAGGTACAAGACGTTCCAGTTTTTGAAATATAAGACAGTATAGCAAGGTATACATTGTAGCTACAGTTAGATAGCTTATACTACTCATACTTGTGGGTTCCTTTGGAAATCAGTTTTTTAAACTGAAAATGGACTTGTTGGCCGCGTACGATCCATGAGGATCATGCCACCGGGCCTTGGTCTGCTTGTTTCCGGCGTGTCCGTCCCTCCTCGCGACACTTCGTCTCTGCTGCAGCTGCCCCCTCGTGGACCGCTTTCCACCACGCTCCTCTCTCAGCAATAAGCTCCTCCACTCCGCGTTTTCTATATCTGGCAGTGTCGCAAGTCGTCCCGCACGCGGTCTTGGAAACGGAGTAGTGGTCTTCTTCGAGCTCGGGCTCCAGTACTGACTTCGCTGAAGAGGGTTCTCTTGGGATGACAGTCCTGTGGCATCCTATAAACCCTCATATAAAAAGATAACAGTAAATAAATGAAAAACTCAATTGTTCATACTAGCAGTAGTTAGTACTTGTACTCATGAGAATGTAATCATACCCACAAGAAATAGAATTGCCTGTACTCATAACTCGCACTTGCACTCGTGGCAAAATACTCAATATTTTTTTCAGATGGCATTTGCATTGGAAAAATGTAACTTTTGGGTTTTTACCGACTTGTTATAACAGGTGAAATTAAGCCACAAACAATATTGTCTTAATGAGTTGGATTTGGGACAAGGATCACAGTACATGTCTACTTGGTTAAGGGGTATGCTGAAAATCTTAAGGTTTCTGACTTAAGTCTGAGTCTGACTAATTTTGTAAATTGTTTACATTTCTTGCATCCCTGCGTCAGCTGCCCATCCAAATACTCATACTCCTACTCAGACAGAAGTCGTGTTTGCATTGGACTATTTTGGTGAAACTAACAGACTGTTGTCAACTTAACCAAATTAAGTCCAGTGTGGACAGCGAGTAAACTTTCCAAAATGTCAAGTGTCGACTGTCGATTGTAAGTTTTACGGTCTGCAGTGGGTCACGGAAGAATCACATTGTTGGTTTTAAGTAAGGAATGACTTTCCATGGGCCAAAGTCAATCCAAGTACCGAGGAACGGTAGAATAACCACATTGGAATGTTAACAATCACTCGCGGTAACCTTTTTACAACATTAAGTCCACTGCGAGTGCAGATAAAGTGTTGAGTGCAGATAAAGTGTTGAGTCAATTTTTTCCAACTTTCACTTGGGAGGTAACACACTGAGTATACAGTGTTTAAACGTCGGTGAAGGGCAAAACCTATAATTTGAGTCAATCAAGCTTTACATTCTAAATGCAAAAAAGCCTTGTATTTCTTATGTGGAGACACAGAAGTGGACTCCACTGCAACACGTTGGTGCCAAGATCTGTACAGCGCCAGTCAAGAAATGATCAAAGTTGTAGTAAAATCAGGAGGATCAATTATTTTGCTGATTTGTGTTCATGTATCCAGGCACCAGCCTACCTGCTGGGACCTCCATACCAGCCGGAGTACTGCAGTTACATCAGGGCCAAGGTCAAGGGTCACCATCACCCAACCAGCCAATCCACCCACCGCATTTCTTGTACAGGTAAGATATTGCAAAGCTTCCTTCAAAATCCACCGGGAGGTTTGTGGAGGAGTTTGTGGCGTCGGCAAAAGTGGAACGCAGTCGCTTTGTGATCACTTTTGAGAACTCCAGTGGGGCAGACGCATCAAGTTTGCCACTCGTTTGCTCGCGTAGTACACGAATTAAGCCAGTTTAATTTTCAAAGATCATGCAGGGGTCATTAGAAGTCATTGTTCAAATATGCTTCAAATGTTTCTTTGTCCACAAACTAACTTTGATGGATTTTAATATAATTTGGATGGAGTGTACTTGTGAGGAGCGGTCCTGGTGTGGAGTGATAACTTGGATGGGTGGGGGGTTCATGACAACTCTTCCAAAATTGGAGGTCAAAGGTCATTGTTGAAAACATATATGCACAAAATTAGACTTTTTAAGAACACAAAATATATAGGGATCGACCGCCAAAAAAAAAGTGTGATCCACTTATCACCTGTTTTAAAAAAAAATTATCAATTCAATTAATTAATTAAAATTTGCAAAGGCTACTTAACTTTAAACGGACTGAAAAGTCCCACAGACTTCAGATTTGTTTTTGTTGGAATTTTTTGAAAAAAAAAAATCAATTTTATGAGATTGAGCTGAGCAGTGTTTAATTCCCTTGCTCAAGTCGAGAAAAAATTCCATTTTGTTCACCACCAGAGGGGATGAACAATTATACATTTTGTTACAGATTTAGAAGTACACCATAATTTATTCTCTCAGGCCTCGAAACTCAAAACTTGTTTTTCATGAATTTCAGCTTCATTTTTTCGCTGATTCAGTTACATCTTGTTGTCGTGTCCGTGGTAATCGGTTTTCTTGAAATCCATCCCTCCACTCGATACCTCCTGAAACCCTCGAGCACCGAAAAAAAAATTGGTCTGAGACTCTGCGAACAAATATCAGTCTCGTTCCTTTGTGCCAAGAGCAGGGCATCTGACGTATCGGGATTTGCTTTTTACCTTATGGGAATATCTGTTATCTAAGAATAACAGCTTTTTTCACTCTCTCTGTGCCATCTTTTCTAATCCTGTAGATGTGAAGGCATGACAAACAAAATGGCATTTGCGAGAGGTCACAGCATGGTCAGCCTGGATGCTGTTGGCAAAATCTTGCTTGTGACATCTCTTCGTTTCGTGATGCTTTCATTTGTATTTTCCAAGGCATTTGCCGTGAAATTTCAAACAGATCCCCTGAGGGGGGCACTTACCGGGTACATGAATACCCCACATTTCAATAACACCAGTAAGGTCTTAAAGAATGCCAAGAAAGTGTGCAAAAAAACTGTTTAGTCTGTCACATCCAAGTGCATGTACCAAAAGGCCCCTCCTTATGGTGTTGTTCAATGAAACTTCAAAGTTTGTTTTGAGAGTTAAGCAGTGCATGTTGTTTTCTCTCTGCATCAAGAGGACAAACATGTCCTTCCCTCTAGCGGAATATATCAGTACCACAAACATTTCCTTAAATAACTGATTTCAATTGCAGCTAAAGTGAAAATGCAACTGAGTGTTCATCGGATTAAATTATCAATAATGCAGACACCGCAATTTTTTTACCAATACAAACCATCTACTCTTTGAGAAACAAAAACATCTCATCACCATCTACGGGTACATGATGAAAAAAGAAACCAACATATATTACCATCAACGTGGTGAATAACAAAAAATCACATACCATCCCCTTAATGGAAAACAAAACCAACATATCACCATCTACATGGTGAAAAAAATGAACATCATGTCACTGCCTACACATTGAAAACAAAAAATAACATCACCATCTACACGGTGAAAAACAAAAACATCAATTGTTGTGACTGATTTTTGCTTTACTGATGAATTTACCTATCGTTACTTTCTGCTTATTAAACACAATGAAATTACGCCCTTATTTGGGCTAAGCCTAGTCTATGTAATAGACCACGGTGAATGCCATGGTCTATGATACATGTCAGCAGATTCACTGATTAATTAGGCAAGACAATCGCCTCTTGACCTCTAGATTTTGACCAATCAGTGGGCGCTTTCTATATCAGGTCTTCGGTCATTCACCCGTTGCGTGTAATAGACAATGGATAAAAAATAAACTGTGTCACGCGCTCTGTATCATGTAACGCGATATGCACCCAGCTGTTGTTGTATTACAATTACAAGTTAGCATTCGAATTGACCAATCAAACCATTTAGTCCTGATTTGGGAATGAAATGACATCACGATGTAGTAAAGTCTACTGCGATTGGCTGGTGTGCAGCTTGCATATATCTGCATGTTTAGAGATACCAGACATTATACAGGAGACTTGCTCCGCGGATAACGAGTGATACTCAGACTAGGCTAGGCCTTGGTCAACTGTATTTTACCTGTGACAAATGAAAGTGCACGTGAGTGGTTCCCTGACTCCTTACAATGACATGTGAACCCGTTGCAGGTTGCAGCAGTCAGGTGGGCCCACGAGTCCCTTGGTCCTCTCCCCTACTGTGACGTCAGCAGCTGCCTCCTCTGCAACCTCCACCGCCAGCCAGACCATCACATCGTCATCGTCGACTCATGAGGCATCCATAGGTAGGTTCAAATCAAGGCTTATAAGTCCAAGTCCAAGACTTGGTGTGGATTGTTGTTCCGCTTGATGTAACTGGGCAAGTGTGGCCAAGCTGCTGTGGGCCGTAGAGGGTGCTATGTGTATCAAGTTCTGAGCATGCGTACCTCACGCGACTTATTTTCAAGCAAATGCATCAGGGTACGCTTTGAGTTTTTTTGGGGGGGGTTCTGGTGCCGAAGTTCCCAAGACTAGATTTGATTCATCTTGTTATTAATAGCGCCCTCTTCTGCTGTGAAGGCTTGAATGCACTTATATTATACCCCCAAGAAAAAAAAACAAGGGGCAAAAAAAAAGGTTTTTTTTTATATTTTTAATTTTCAATGTTCAGGAAATAAATTTAATCATTGAATATCTCCCTCACAAGCCATCAGCTACACATATCTTTTAATTTGAATATTACAATGTGGAAATAGTGCACAATACTCTATACTTAATCTCCTTCCCCTTTAAAAAAAAAAAAAACATACTCGAGCCCATCTCTTCCCACCCTCCTGAAAATTTGCTAGATTTGCCCTTGATTATACCATGCCTTCAATACTTTTCTTCCAAACATTACCATTTCTGGCCTTTCTTCATTTTGAGCAAGGTTTCTGTCATTAAATCGGTTGGTACTTTTCTGGGTAATTGTAAACAATCCTACCGGTACTTGGCTTTAAACACGTCTCCTGAATACCTACACGTACATGTGCCGGTAGCCCTACCGTTACCAGCTATATTGTAAGTGCTCAATTAAGTGACAATTTTTTCAATTGTTGCAAAACTGCATGTATTTTTGTATTGCCTATTGCAGTCCACAGTCCTCCCAGGAATACCAGCTGACCTTAACCAAGCCTAGTTGTTAATCACACAGGGAGGTCTAACTATATATATCTTGCAACTCAACAGCATCTTCGAGCGCTTCCTCGCCCCTGATGTACCACACTGCCCAAGGTATCGTCTACGCCACCTCCCCTGGTACCATCCCAGAGAGCCTCCTACTACCCACCTATCAAGCAACAACCTCCGGCAGTCAAGCTCAAGATAGAAGTAAGCTGGGTTTTTCCCTTCAATATTTTACGTTAACTCTGATCACTAAGGTCCTCTTGGTGAAGCCGCGTACTTACAATCTTTCATATCATCTTAAAAATAAATAAGAACGTTCCTGAGTGCTGAAGTGTGCCTTTTCTTTCTTATCTGATAAGGGCGTCCCTGTTTATTGCAATGCTTGTCATATTTTTTTGCCTCTGAAATGGGAACCGTCAGTCAGCAAAAATCACAAATCTGGAGAAAAGATTGCAGTTGCACCTGTTGTATATTGGCTATTAATGCATATTGTCTCTAGTTGTGTTTATTGCAATGAGATTATCATTGCTATCATTGAACAAATAATAAAGCCATCTTTGGCAAGATGCAGTTGACTTACATTGTATCTGCTCAAATGCTAACGTTTTGGCGGTAGTCATAAAGATATATTCAGGCATGCAACTGTTCCTCGGATCTGCTGATTTCCTTGTTTTTTACTTCTCATGAATGCCATTACAAATTGAAAAACACTGTACAAAGTCTTGTGTGGTTTGGGAGTTTCCTCGTTTTTCCTAAATTTCCAGTTGCATGCCTGCATATTATGATGACTTCCTTTAATAGTTATTTGGCTTTATGTATACATGTAGCAAAATAAACAGAATACTGTTAAAACCCTAAAAAAGTTACTTAGTTGAAAGACGCACATAATTGTTTTCCCTGCTTATGTTGCAGGAACACGCAATTTATTTTACCGAATCATGCTGACAGTAAGCCAGTTCGGTATCTCAATGAAGTAGTCAAGGTCAAAGGTCATTTGGGATAAAAACGCTGGCTTGACTCGAGCGTATTGTACACGAAAGCCCATTCTGCTCGTAATTAATTAACGCACGAGCGTCGTGTGACAGTTTCCTTGCAAGTTCACGTGCCTTCAATGAGCATTCAATTGTCGTGAATGACACATATCACTGCACACATGCACAGCCCAGTTGAAACGCCGAACTGACTTATAACTCTGGGAGCAAGATCATTGTCTATTGAGCTTTGTTTGACAACCGATATTGACGTTTTTGTTTTCAGCTGTTGCAGTTAGTTGAATTGTGCTATACATGTAATCCCAATGATCAGCTGGCTGAAACAATGCGACATGATTTCAGTCACAGGTTGAATTCGGGCGATTCACAATGCAGTGCGCCACCAAGAGTTTGCCACGGAGAGTTCATTTTTCCCAGTGCATTGTGGGAGATGGTCGACAAATTCGCAGCGCGGGGCATTTGAAATGTTAGTTTTTTCCGGTCAGTAGTTTCGTAAGGGTATGATTTGTGGATCTGTTTACCCTTTTCTTTTCTTCTTATCAATATGGTGTTTTTTGTAAGGCGGCAGAACGCTATGCTCCAATCTATAACAAATTAGCTCAAGTTGTCTGTCGACCGTAAACCTGAAGAATGGACTCTCCATGGCACACTCTTGGTGGCGCACTGCATTGTGAATCGCCCGAATTGGTTTCCCATATGTCAAAGTCAACAACCGGCATTTTTGCTGGTCCCCGAGAGCCAGCCTAGTGTCCTCTTTGTACCCGTCTACTAACTGACTCACTCAATGCTCATCACTTGTGAGGCGGGCAGTGCTATCATATAGGATTACCCCAATAAAGCAAATAAATACGCTCAATGTGGCACATTGCTTAGACCAGATGCATGAAAAGACTTCCAGTGAATATCTATTCTGAATCAATTCGGGCGATTCACAATGCAGTGCGCCACCAAGAGTTTGCCATGGAGAGCCCATTTTTCAAGTTTACGGTCAACAAAACATGGCCCATTTGATTGAGTGTCAGTAGACATCTTGAGGCACATGTAATTGAGCATAGGCATTCTGCCGCCTTACCAAAAAACCCACCATATTGATAAAAAGACAAGAAAAGGGCAGGAAATACTCAAATCATATCACTAACAAAACTACTGACCGGAAAAACGAACAATTTCAAATGTCCTGCGCTGTGAATTTGTCGACCATCTCCTAACAATGGATTGGGAAAAGTGATCTCTCGGTGGCCAACTCTTGGTGGCGCACTGCATTGTGAATCGCCTGAATTGAAGAGAATTGTGTGCGCTCTGGTACCAGCATTACGAGGCTGGTCTTGTCTCGTTTCCCAAGTACACCTAGAATCCGTGTGTAACATATTTGTGTTGTTTTCTTCAGGTAATTTGAATGTTGGACTGCTGCCAGTATCGACCGGTCAAGCCACCACGAATGCCTCTGTACCTATATCCATCTCGAAAACCACCCTGGAAAGCTTACAGGTATGAGATGGTTATCTTGAAAGTCATTTAAAGAGTGTGGTCTTATGGCATTAAATGCAATTGGCTCTCCGCTACGCATACATTGCAAGGATATATCGTGCGATACCCATCAGTTTGAAACGCATCCTAAATTGTTGATTTTTCAACCTCTTTTCTGATAACAAATTTTATCCTGTATGATTTGATTGCAAGAAGATGAATTGCAGTAGTAAATTGAGATTTGCAGCAGATGCAAGGCTTTAATAGGAGTTCGCCATTTTAGATTGCTGCTTTTATCCACTATTGAAGTGTTACGTAGTATCGAGCAAGGTCACTGGCTTAATCCTAATGATGGATCATGCCACATATTCTGGCAACGGATCCAGCCATTGGTACTGCACGTGTATTCAAAGCGAAGTAAAATCACTCGCAAAAGTGGTCAATAAATGCAACCTCACGATGATCAATCATTTCGCTGTAGACTGTAATCATGTAAATAAAAGTCACATTCCTGTAGATTATTTTTCCAACTTCCTAATAAACAAAACAAAAATGCTCAGAAACTACAGGAGTCCGTAGTGAGTGGTGGCCATGTTTGCATCGGCGGGATCCCATTGCTGTGCCAACCGGTTTTGGCAGATCTTACATAATCACTTTGATAGTGCATTGGTAATGGATCTGATAAAGTATTTACCCTCACCGTGTCATTTCCTCCAAAATCCTCTTTGCAAATTGGAGGAATTTGCAAGATTGAGGCAACATATGGCAAAAGTGTGTTGCTGATTCAGAAGATGCACTGTATCAAGCTCTTGGGCCATGTTGTTTATGCTAAGCCGTGCATAAATTTAGGCTTTGATAATACTTGAAATCCTCCCTACTGCTCCAGGATGTCACTGGCTCTGCCTCAACATTATTGACAGTGACTGTTGGAAGATTTTGCAGGATTGAGGCAGTGGTCAGCCCTGCGAGGGCCACACTCAAGAAATAACGGAGGATTTTGCAGGATTCAGGCTATTTTACATGGAGGCTGTTGGAGGATTTTGCAGGGTTGAGGTTGCATCCTAGCAAAAATGCCTAGGGAGTTACCGGTCGGGTTAAGCATATGCATGTGCATACACAATGCAAAACAAAGGAATATACACATATCTGTTCGGAAGCAAAACCTCTTTGTCGTCAATAGCCCTAACAGTCCTGAATCCTCCAATTTCAATACGATTTTGCATACCCCCCGGGTTCCCTACATTGAATATCCACAGCACAAGACAACATTGTCCATTTCTCCCATAGCCTTATACCTCTGAATGGGTATCTAACCAGCCCTTGATATTCATTTTGTGCTTTGCAGACCGTGAGTCCAGCAGGGGATAGAAAGCAGAGCTCATCAAGCGAAGGGAAAGGCCATCACAGCAGGTCCTACCTGCTGCCGCCACTGACTAAACACCGATAACAAACATGTAACCCAACGTATGAAAGTCTCCCATGTTTGCTCTCGTGGGACAGCAGCCCATCACAGAAGGCCCTATCTATTCATTTATGAATGGATCCTCTCTTAATAGTGGATGACTTGCCTTACAATTGTAACAATATGTTTCGTTGGTACTTAGAATTATCAGCTTCATTCGTACATAGATGAATCCAGGCAACGTGATCACTGTACAGACAGGAGTCCCCCTCCAATGGAGAAACCATTGTGCACGCTATGGTACAAAGCAGCTGTGGCCCAGGACAGATTATCTGAACAATAGCTAGCACAATGCTTTGGCCATTGAAGGGGGCCTTCGTGATAGAATTGTTAGCGTGCCTGGATTGGTCCTTGAGTGTACTTGTGTGTATACTTTAATAGCATTTATATTGCATTGTTCCGGTTTTGCCAAAAATATTTCCTTTTTTTAGCAATAATTCAAAGTTAAGCTGTTTACATGTATATCATACAGAACAACAAATAAAGTGCTTCCAATCGCTATAACTTAAAAAAAAAAAAAAGTCTCTATTTGCTTTTATGATATGAAATACTATAAAGCCTTTATTTATACAGATTTCACGGGTTAATATAATTACCAAAATATAGTGGGTATAGTTTTTGTACAAATAAATATTCATTTTTGATGGAATATATAAATTGTACACGGAAACCACCTGCAAATACATAAAATATGTGAAGTGTTCAGGCAAAATTAGGTGGAACTCAGCCTGGATCGAAGTTAAGTTGTTGCAACATGTAGATTCTGGAAGTAAATTTAATTCTCTTGAGAAATGCTGTTTCTTTTTATGGTATTTGGACATTCCATCGTGAAGTTATGAATAGGAGTTATTGTTGAGCAAAGTAGGGCAGGGCATTGACCCCATTTAAGGGGTAGAAACAGTCGTGAATTTAAGTTTATTGACGCAAGTATACACATTGCTACATCTCAAAAATTATATTTTTTACAGTCTTCAATCTTTTTAATTTCTTCCATGTAGTAGTAAAGTCCGTCACGAGCCTGGATGTGGCCCATCAGGCCGGCGTTTGTGTCTAGTTTCAGTAGCATGAAACGACTGAGAACATTTCTATTTCCCCTGGATGGGATGCTAGTCCATCGCAGGTTACTCCCGAGCTAATGCCGGTACCCATTTATACTCCTGGGTGGAGAGAGGCAAGTGGGGGTGAAATGGCTTGCCCAAGGACACAACATATGACCAGCAGCTGGAATCAAACCCCTGACCCTCTGATCATGAGTCATGAACCCTAACCACTAGGCCACACTCCCCACTAATTTCTTCCATATACAGCTCTGATTTAGTGTTGATTTCGCGAAAAATGGCATTGTTATGGGTTCCGTGCATGAACAAGAGAGGGCGTTATTTGACCACTTTTGAAAGACCCATGGGCTGGACACACCGTATGTGCGTGTACTGGTTCACGCGCATATAGCATAAAGTATGCACTACTAATTTTATTCGGACTCGGCGCAAAGCCACAGCATCTTTGCGTGAATGACAGGCTCATCAGCAAAGCGTCCGAATGTCTCTCACAGTGGTCTCCCCCAACTCTCATTTTCTTACCGTTGAGGGGGTACTTGTGCACGGACCCCATATAGAAGCCCTTCGTTCGCTTATAGACATGGCCTGTTGTTGACACTTATGGCCTAGTCCCATGTGATTTGCAAGAATACAAAATGTATGTCCCAAACGGCTCATTGTGCCCCTAACCTAGAATTTACAAATGTGCACTTCACCCAAGTTCTTTATTTTAATTAATTTTCTTGGGGGAGTGCGCTGCTCACATTTTAGATAAAATCAGACAAAAGTCAATACTTTTTCAAGATAAATGTACTTTATGTATATGAAATTGTAAAAAGAAAAAAAATGTACATTTGTATGGATATTTCTTGAATTGGTCATAGAATATATTTAGGAGAATATATTTTAGGAGGATTGTACAGGACACTTTTTTTCTCTAAAAAAAAATGCTGGGGACTTCCAAATTCATCATGCATCAAAATATCTGCATGAATTGAAAACAAAAATGGTACCGGATGTTTACAATTTGTTTTCAGTCTTCACAACTTGTTTACTTTTTTTGCAGAAATGTTGGGCAGTGTATGTCTGGTAACCCGTGTTCACAGGTGTTGAAGTGATCAGGACTAATGCTGTGTGTTCAAATCACTTGTCCAAAGCTAATTTTGGGTGTTGTGAGGTAAAACCTTTTTCTGCTAGACATACACTGCACAACTTCTTTGCAAAGCTGTTTTAAAAAAAGTTGTGGCAATTGAAAAATACTGTGTAAAACAAGATGCGGCATTAAGGTCACAGCTAACCAGAGAAAGTCCCATTTGCAAACTTTGGGGAACAAGAACTGCTTTTTTTTGTAGGGCAAAAATAATTTTTCTTGTCCCAACTCTTACAGATCATCAGTTTTATTTTGCCTAGACTGGTTCCTAGTTCCCCAATTTAAAGTTAGTGGGGCAGGAACCAGTCTACATTTTTCTTGAAACTATTTTTTGGTTTGTTTTTAAAACTAAAACAAAAACAAAGAAAAAAGTGTCTTAAGCTTGTTTCCTTTGAATGTATTCTGCCTGCATTTTCATATTGTTTAGAAATTTTATGCAACTTTGTAAAAAATATGTAAATATAATGCATAAATTATTCCTTGCCATTTGCTATAAGCCACAACAGCTGGATATACTGTTGTATACTAGATTTTTGCAAACCAAAGGATTTTATTTCAAATTTTGGTGGTTTTTTTTTTTATAGATATGCTCTTCCCTTCAAACTCTGTCAGGTTTTCAAAATTAAAAACAGCATTCAAAATTAAAAAACAGCGCACCTTGTTGATTGTCCAAAAAAATATGAATTGATAAATATGAAGTTTACTGTTATAAATTACAATTTGTCTTAAAAATTAATGATGTAACACTTCGGGCTGTGAAACGTTTTGATATAAGACTGCATTTCTTTTGCTGCTGCTTCTGAACTTGGAAAGTCAGCTGTTTTGTCTCCTCGAGCTTGGAATAAAATACAAGATTTATAAAGTTAAATCCATAAAAGAAATCTAATTCAATTACTGTGTGTGTTTTTGCCAAATGTTTTCTTCCAGCGCATTGGAAAAGGTAACAACAGATTCAGATGCGTGTTCTGGAACAAGTTTAATTTGGAAATGACAGAAACTCTCATTTTCATAAATCAATTATTTTCTTTGCATTCATCCAATGAAAAGCCTCATTATGGACAGGCTCAGTATGTTACGCTGTGCGACCTATCAGAACAGCTGTTGTAAGGGACACGTTGTGCCATGCACTCCTCTACAGAGGGCTGCACGCACGACCAACATACACAAAACTGTTGGCACTATTGACCCATCGCGTTAGAATCACGTCAACGCAGCTTGTAGTATTGTCCAATTACATGATATACAAATGGACGCAGAACGCGCAACATCTGAGACAAACAAAGCTTAGCGTACAAAAACTCCATAGGGTTGTCCAAGGGGCTTGGCTTACTCGCAAACGGCGATAGGTCAATTACTGCTGCAATGGCATACATCTAATTGGCCTTATTCCGAGGATTGAGGGCGCTCTAACACCACCTATTTTGGGGTTATTGACACGTTTACATATTGCTACACCTCAAAATTTACATTTTACACAAGCTTTGGTTTTTATATTCATCTAAAATTACTAAAAAGATTCAATAAACGGGATTATTCTTGGGAGCGCCCTCAAAAGTATGCAGAATTCCTTCATTATATGGTAGACGGGGTATTGGTTTTACCAAAACAGCGCCCTCTATTTCTCAGAATGGCTTATTTGAGTGGGTACTTGTGCAGAGAGTCCACCAATCTTAGCCCATGTCCGAAGCACTTGGCTACGGCTGTATATAACATACGCTTCTATGGAAGCAACTGGCTAGCGGCTACAGCCACTTGCCACAGACTTGTGCGTCAATGCCGGTCATAGCCAATTGATGCGGACACAGCCACATCTGCAGCAACACTCACTGAGATGTTCCACACTTGAGTTCTAGTCACACACAACTGGACTTGTCACAGAAATACAAACATATCAGTCAATTCTTTGCCAAAACTTTGTTTTATTGTTTTCCAGATTTTTCTTGGACGTAAAATATATTTGGCCTTTGATAAACCATGCAAATCCTCTACTATTTTTACAACATGGTGTTCGGAACGTCTCATAACTAGTATTATTTAAAAAGGTTGTATGGGTGAGAGGCTGACAAAGCCAATGTGCTCAATGGATTTGGCCGGGGAAGAATGGGTAGCTGGCTTATTGCTATTCACAACTTGACAAGAACTTAATAGCAAAAACTTTACTTAATGCTCCAATTAATCATAAAACCAAAAAAAATTGTGGGTTTTTAAAAAAAGTTATGCATCATAAATATGTTAATAAAATATAAATAATTTCCCAATTTACATGATGTTATAGATGTTTATATAATGCTGTATGATACAAGTTTGCTCGGTTCAACCTATTTTATACATGGGGAATGTTTGAAGGCTAGTAGCAAAAACTCATTTGAATATTTGAATTTTATGAATGCAGCTCGTACGAACACTTGTAAAACATTTATCAATTTACATCTAAAACAGGCGAACAAGCACATCTACACATATGTTAGAAATAAATCCTCAAGTAAATAAAAACGTTCAAATAACAGTAAAAAAAATTAATAATTTTTTTCTCAATTTATAGATCATGACCCTATCTTGAGCTTCAATGAGGAGGATGAAATATTTGAATTCAGATTTGTTGTTCGCTCGGCTATTCAAAAGAATTTTGAAGAAATATTTTGAAGAAAACGCGACGTAAATTTGGCACAATTTCCGTTTGTTGCAATTTATTTACTTCCGTACTTGCGGCAGTTTGAGCAGGTCTAGGCCTCAAGATAATGCTTTTATTTTTTGTCTGCCGTAGTTAGCATAACTTGACGACTAATCGTTAAGCGGCGTCATGAAATTCGGTTGAGAACAAACCCCGGAAATTCTATGTTACGTTTTAAATTCTGGATGCCTGTTTTCTTTTAAACGACAAATGCTGATAGCTGCTCTATATACTCCAGTAATGCAAGACGTCCAAAAAACACACACTGTATTGATATAATGTATCACAAAAATAAACGGCGTTAAAACACATTCTCTTTTTATTTGTAAAATGGCAGATTGTAGCGTACAAACCGAACTTGGCTTTTCAAATACCTTGCACTTTGGGGGCCAAAAAAGGCAGCCCTCAATTTCATGGAGCGGATAAGCAAGAAAAAGGTACAACTAAAAACAAGTATCCAGCGAATGACACTTTGGTTAATAATCTGTTTTTGCTTAGTAAATATTGCTAAACAATTTCTGTGATGAATTTTCTGCTTAACAGATGGCTCCATGAAATTTGCGCAGAATCATGAGGTAGTATTTGTTCTACCACTTGCTCATTATTACTCTCAAAAATAAAAATAAAAAATGTTATTATTACTAAAACATTGAATAACATATTGGTTACCCGCCCAAAATTTGCAATAAGAATCACACCCTTATTCTGATTACGATAAATCCGTGCAATGTAACCTGGATAAGTCGATCATGTGACATGCAATCCCATCATGCACTTTGAGTAAATAGTGAGACTGTATCTCACGGGCAGTTGCTGTGGTGATTTTTCTTTATTAATTTTAAACTTGGTAAAATTGCTTATGTTTAAAGATTGCTTAATTTGACTAGTGGTTTCGCATGTGGATACGCCAACCCTTAAACCATCCTAGAGTCTTCAAACTCTACCGGGAGGTTTTGAAGATGTTTGAAGGATTTCTGAATGCAGATTACAGTCCCTAATTCTTTTTTGCACACTGGACTTGGAACCACTTGAAATTTGACAAATCGAAAAAATTGCCATTAGCTTATTGAGCTGGGCCCAATTTCACGACGTTGCTTAACAGTTAGCAGAAAACTTGTGCTTAGCATAGCGGAAAAATTTGCCAGCCTTAAGCACTATTTCAAGGCGTGGATGTGCTACAGTCGTGCGCGCGTGGAGAGATTTCTATTGTTACGTCACTAAGTTTAGCAAATTTTTCCTTTGAAGTAAAGCATGCCTTTTGCTGTGCTTATGCTTACGGACTCCATGAAATAGATGGAGGCTCTTTTAGCAGAAGATCGTGTGCTTAGCAGCGCCGTGAAATTGTGCCCAGGAGTGTGTTCAATTCAATCAAATGTTGCCAACATTATCAAACCTTTTTTTGTAAACAGCCAATGTTAAATTATTCAAAACGTTTGCACTGTTCGTGTAAATATTAAGTGGAATGATCCCAGACATTAAGTTCGGAAGTTTTCTGGCAAAAAAATGCCTAAGGAGTTAAGAATGTATTGAAATTTTGTTCCCAGCTTTTCTGAACTTTTAAAGGTATTTGAGTGTTTTACTGAATATAAGCTTAAAAAGTTCTTAAAAACTTTTCAACTTGATGGCAATCAAGGCAGATATTTAATTTCACCATAGCAACTGTCCTCTAAATGCAATTTTTGTTTTCTCTTATTACTCAGTTTGGGCCGGTAACCCTAGCCAACTGCAAAACCTAGGCACAAAAGCGGACAAGCGACAACGAACACAATACAAAAGCGCTGTGCGTCGGTTTGAGCAGCGGCGGCGTGCCGGAGTGCAGCTGGTGCGGGCTAGGGTTGACCGGCGTTGTATGTCATTCGGGGGGCTTCAGGTGCAGGAACTCCACCACGAAGACGTGGAAAATCTTGTTGAGGTTGGAGATGGTGTTGCGGTTCAGGTTGGACTTGTTGTCGTTGGGTTGGTGCCAGACGGGCGGGAATGGTGAGGCGATAACGTGCACGACGTCCACACCTGCGAAGTAGGAACGGAAATTGTTACCACGTCGGAGACTGATTCTGGTGTTTTGTCAAACCTCTGAAATTGAAAATAACAGCGTTGCTGTTGAAACCCCTCAGCCAGAGTCAAGTTATCATCCGGGAACCATTAACCTTTAACTCAACGTGGTGACCTTGACCTTTGGCCTTTGACCCCAGAACCAGTCCCAACATGCCTGTACCAATGGGAAACCCCCTACCGAAGTTAGACACCAACATTTCATTTCTAACTGAAGTTATCATTCGGAACCATTTACATTGAACTCACCACGGTGACCTTGACCTTTGACCTTTTGACCCCAAAACCAATCCCAACTTGCCTTCTCCCAAGGGGAACCCTCTTCCAAAGTTAGACACCAAAATCGCATTTCTAACTCAAGTTATCATCCGGAAACCATTTACCTTTAACTCACAATGGTGACCTTGACCTTTGACCTTTTGACCCCAAAACCAATCCCAACTTGCCTACTCCCAAGGGCAACCCTCTACCAAAGTTAGACACCAAAATCTCATTTCTATCTCAAGTTATCATCTGGAAACCATTTACATTTAACTCACCACGGTGACCTTGACCTTTGACCTTTTGACCCCAAAACCAATCCCAACTTGCCTACTCCCAAGGGCAACCCCCTACCAAAGTTAGACACCAAAATCTCATTTCTAACTCAAGTTATCATCCGGAAACCATTTACCTTTATCTCACCATGCTGACCTTGACCTTTTGACCCCAAAACCAATCCCAACTTGCCTTCTCCCAAGGGGAACCCTCTTCCAAAGTTAGACACCAAAATCGCATTTCTAACTCAAGTTATCATCCGGAAACCATTTACCTTTAACTCACAATGGTGACCTTGACCTTTGACCTTTTGACCCCAAAACCAATCCCAACTTGCCTACTCCCAAGGGCAACCCTCTACCAAAGTTAGACACCAAAATCTCATTTCTAACTCAAGTTATCATCCGGAAACCATTTACCTTTATCTCACCATGCTGACCTTGACCTTTGACCTTTTGACCCCAAAACCAATCCCAACTTGCCTTCTCCCAAGGGCAACCCCCTACCAAAGTTAGACACCAAAATCTCATTTCTAACTCAAGTTATCATCCGGAAACCATTTACATTTAACTCACCACGGTGACCTTGACCTTTGACTTTTTGACCCCAAAACCAATCCCAACTTGCCTACTCCCAAGGGCAACCCCCTACCGAAGTTACAACCCCAAACAACATTTCTAACTCAAGTTATCATCCGGAAACTAAGCTGCCCGGACGGACGGACGGACACACACACATCCGGACGGACGGACGCCCTAGGCGATGACAATACCCCTCGAGCCTCTCGGCTGAGGGGTAAAAATGACTTCATCGTCTTAACTTGCCATGGTTTTCCTGAGGTTTCTGAGCTGCAGTGTCATGGGGGGCATTTGAGGAATCCATGCGTTCATTGCCGGGAAGAATTTAAAAAAGAAAAGACAAGGAAAGCCTAATAAAAATGATCCATAAGTGCGAAAAATTTAATTCCATGGTTAACAAAATTTGTGGAATTAGTCTGTAGTGGTAGCATGATGGAGTGTCATGGCCTAGCGGTTAAGAGCACCGACTCATGCTCTGGTGTTTCACAGGCAGCAGAATGTGGATCAAGCCCGGGTCTGGACACTTGTGCCCTTAAGCAAGGCACTTTACCATTACTGCTTCGTCCTTCCGATGGGACGTAAAGCCCTAGGTCCCGTGTGTTGTGTAATGCAATGCATGTTAAAGAACCCAGCAACACTTATCGCTAAGAGAAGTGTTTGGCCCCTGTGTTTCTGGCCTCCTGTTAAAACTCCCCTGCGGAGTACTTAGGAGAAGAACCAACCAAGTACCAGGTATTAAATTGAAAAGTCCACTTTTTCTGTTCACACGGAGAGTTAACTTATTGCCGACACAGGGATCATGAAAGTACAGGAAACAAGCAGCACCAAACTAATGCAATTCACATACATGAATAGGCACGCCTCATAAAGCTGCTCCAGACTAGTGTAGGTCACATACTGACAGGCAGTGAAATGTGTAACAAGTGGCAGTCAGTCAGTCACATACAAAGAGGATACTTGGCTGGCTCTCTTGGAGCAGCAAAAAGAGTCTTACCTCGATTGAGGAACGGCTTATGGTCGTCCTCAATCATCCCTCGGTAGGTAGCCCCGTTGAAATAAGGACCGTCGTTAGAGTAAGAAATCAGCTCATTGTTCTGAGCTAAACGGCGTTCTGGGGAAAAAAAAGTTACATAAGAAGGTGGGTCATTAAAATATATGGGATCTGAATTACTTGGTCTGATGGGAACATTTGCATAGACTCTTGACATCATTTATTGGTCATTCGCCAGGCTTTTTAATTTTTTACCAGGAACCAAATTAATGCCACATTATGATCATTCAAAGGACATCAAGACCTATGTAAAGTAATAAGGGTTCTCACAGAAATTATGAACAGAAATTCCACGACTTTTCCATAAATTTTCCAGGACAAAATTAGGGCTTTCCATGACCAACACTACGCTCTTTTGGTATCTCTGTGCCTACAGCTTCGCAGGCAAGGGACACCAGTTCCTTTCAGCCTTCCAGTTTGACACAAGACCATGCACTGACCACTACAAAAGTACCAAAATGGTGTACATGTATTAACGAGGAACAAGTATACAGAATACGTGTATAAAGAGAAAGTATAGACTACTAATTCGGTGACAGCCATTTTCTCAGGTGGCACTGCAGTGGCACCAGGCCCACACGAGTCTAGTGCTGCAACTGATCCTCAAAGTTCGGTTCGGTTCGGTTGCGGTTCGATTGTTTTTTTTCCAAACTTCGGTTCGGTTCGGTTTCGAAAGTGCATACATATTGTACATGTCCATAGTAAAATGTATAGCCTAGGGCTACAATGAAAAGCATAGTCTAGGCTGTTTTCCTGTTCAAACAAACATGCGTGTACCGCGCACGTCTGACAGAAATAGGCACCGCAATTTCCACATGCTATAAAACACAAGCTGAAGGAGCAATCTTATTTTTGTTATGTAAATACCGTTATAATTTGACTTGATGACGTTGAGAAATGAACATCGTAAATTGCTACCGTGTTAATAATCGCGGCCCTATCTGGCCCGGTGAACTATGATAAAATTTTCCCACACCTGCTGACAGTTTTCCCGACAAGTTCCGTCCCGTCCGAGCATGCCCTGATGAGCACTAAAAACTTGTCTCGTGGCAATAATTGCTGATTAGTTTTGTTCTAAGAACAAACAGGTCCTTTCACTGTGCCAAACTTATGAAATCATAATTACTTTTTTAGCAACAAGCTGACAAGTAGCTACCGTAAAATAATAATAACTTTTCGCTTCGCGGCGTGACTTTCATCAAAATCACACACTCCGGGCTCCTGTGACCAACAGGGTAACCAAAATGCACCTGCGCCCCGTCTTTAACCCTAACTCCCTAGGCCTTTTTGCTAGGATGTAGCCTCAATCCTGCAAAATCCTCCAATTGGCCTCATGGGAAAAATAGCATATAGCCTCAATCCTGCAAATTCCTCCATTATTTCTTGAATATGGTCCATGGAGGGGTGACCACTGCCTGAATCCTGCAAAATCCTCCGGCTATGACTGTCAATAGGCTGAGGCAGAGGCAGTGACATCCTAGAGCAGTGCGGAGGATTTCAAGTATAATCAAGGACTAAATTTAAGCATGGCTGAGCATAAACAACACAAGGTCCGGCCCAAGACCTTGACACAGTGCGTACTCCGAAATCCGCAACGCACTTTTGCCATGTAACCTCAATCCTGCAAAATCCTCCGATTTGCAAAAAGGATTTTGGAGGATTCAGGGCGCTTAGGGTTAAGAATGGTTGCTGCGTGCGCGCGAGTGTGGCACCAAGAATTGCTTCTAATTCTGTTCGCTGGATTATAAAGTAAACTGGAATGCAAACTATAAGACTGCCACAGCCAAATATTAAGCATCATCACGTATGGGTTGTGCAGGATTCCATGGATATTCCTATAGACTTTTTTCTTGGAATATCAACTTGCCATGACTCCTTTTAAAATAACAGAATTCCATGATTTTTTCAAGATTTTCCTAGCTAGCTTTAAATTCAGGATTTTACAGGATTAAAAAAAAAAAAATTCCATGACTGAGGTAACCCTAAATAGTAGCTTGGTTAATAACTTCAAAAATCATACAAAAACCTACAAAACCTGGTGGATTTTGAGAGATGTGGGAGAGTTACCGAATACACTATCAGACAGATTATGTTATTACTACAACAGCGTGATTGCTTACCTATATTCTGAAGGTGCTTGTACATTCGGTCACTCTGGGGATTTCCCGAGAAAAAATTATTGAATTTCGGAGAGGGTGCCCCGAGAAGGTCCAACAGAACAAAAAGACCCTGCCAAGAACAAAGGAAAACAATTGATGTGAATGGATGAAAAGAATTAAATTGGGACAGAATATTGCTTAGGTTTTAGCAAATTCTTACACATCACCAGCGCATCACAGGGGGAAAAGCCATCATTTGTAAACAACGTAAATTCGTATTTCTTATGTTTCTATTAATTAAGAGCATTTGTGATGCGATCAAGCTACATGAGTTGTTTGTCGACTGTGGTCAAATTTTTTTATTACAGATTTTAAATGAGCACAATTTCAGCATTACTGCTGTGAAAACCACATGCTGATACCATCTTTAGTTTTAAAATTATGGAAGTCGGACACCAAGAGATGTGATAAAGTGATGTGATGACGTGGCCCTATTTTGGCATGTATCTCCACATAAAAACCTCCGGACAAACGACTCATTTTTATTTATTGATGCAAAAACTGATTAAATGAAACCAAAAAAAAGTTTTCGGTAATTATAAGTGATTTTTAATTGTTTCATCTTTTTTTGTGAGAAATTTTAAGATGGTTTCAAACAATATTATGCCGAAATATCCTGGGAGAATTATAGCCAATTGTGTGTAGTCTCAAGGGCCATATCGTGACTAAATGAAGGGACAGAAACACATGTACGTGGGCTCACTGTTAATGCAACTTCAGGTCACATTGCGACCCATGATGCCATTAATACTAATATGTGGAGCGCCTACATGTATCTTATAAAATTATAACATGGATGAGATGTTTACCAGGAATTTGGTAATGAATCTGTTTACGGTACTAATGACCAGTTTCGCCCTGAGGGCATAATGAATACATTGTTGAGTGCGAATGACGAATGGAATGGACAACAAATTAAATCAGAATCGTGACATCAGAGTGCACACCCACACACTGTGATCATCAGTGTCTGTGCTAGACAGCATTGATAACCGCAAATGTGTTGACTGGCTCCTCTCAAGTACTGACGAATTACATTTTGAACCAGCTTACATGTAATAGTAAAGTAGAACCAATACAGTAAACAGTGCATCTACATGTAACCCTCCCTTTAAACCTTAACCACCCCAACCCTTCAAAATCCAACTACATGTTTCGTTGGAATCTGTTGGAGTGAGCACTGTATAATAATAATAATAATTTGGGAGGCTAATCATCCTTTAAACTCGCAGCTGGTATGCTGAATTGCAAAGGACACGGCTACAACGTGGCAATCTACTTTAAACTGATTACGCTTTACATGAGGTACGTTGGGTATATACCACCATAATCAGAGTCCAACAGTTTGGGTGTAGAGTTTACCACTTGCTGTTGGATTTTGCAAGAGTGAGGAAGTTTCCTAGTAAATCACTCAAGGGGGTTAGGGTTCATGGGTATTTTACTTCTGAGAACTTCTTTTTGAGGGATGTGCAGTAGTTCAAACATTACAGGCCAAAACCATCAATTTACAATAACATATCATCCAGAGTTACAGAAAAAAATTGATGCAAGAGGGCGCACCCTGACACTCACAATTCCATCGATGATTTTCTTGTTGTTGACCGAGTGGTGGGGTAGATCAGCCCATCTCTGGGCCAGGTGTCGGGAGCCGTAGATGGAGTCGGTGCTGGTCCATCGAATGAACGCTTCCTCCCCGTCAAAGAAGATGAGCTGGAGTGTGTACGGCTGCAAAAACAAACACAATAATTCTGTTAGTAAATCATACTCCTCAGCTCAAGGGGGGTGGGGAGGGGGGGGGGGGAGGGGGAGAGACAAGCTGCTTAGCACATTATTTTGATAAGCGCAAGGTATTTGCTTAGCAGTCTACCAATTGTCATGCAATGTTCATGTTTATTGCCTGTTAACGGTTCTCATTTGATTTTAGGCTAGCACATACATTTGTTCAGCAATACTGTATCGTTAGAACATTTCCCCCCCCCCACTTTATCAACAAATAGATTAGTTATGTTTCGTTTCTTCGCTGTTAAGATTCATCAAATATGGACACATTTTGGGCCAATAAAAGCATAACGAACATTGGTCCTTAGACAAAACACGCCTCACATGCATTTTTACAACCGTAGATAGTGTGCAGCCAACCTCTTTGTACATTTGTTATACACCATTCTGCGGTTTGATACACTTCTCATTCATGAAAACGGCTACATTTCTAAATTGCTCCAGTGGCTTATTTCTCTGGACCATTGACAATGGGCACACGCGCTCACACAGGCTTAAGATTTTATTTTGACAACTGCCACCCCCCCCCCAATTTTTGAGTCCACTCCCCCCCCCCCCCCCCCCCGAAAAAGTGACAATTAATGGGGCCTTTGAGTGTGAAGTAGAGCAAAGGTTAAAAAAAAAAGCAAGACGGCGCAAACCATGTATGTCTTGGCATCTAGTGAAGCCTTCAAGTTGTGTGCCAGGTCCAGCAGCATGGCGCAAGGTACGGCCGAGTCGGTGGCACCGACAAAGGTGTGACCGGGGTAGTACTTGCTGTCATAGTGACAGGCAAGGACCAGCTTCAGGTCCGACTCCGGCTGGGCGTTGGCGTTGCGCAGCGTGGCGATGATGTTCACGAATTCCGTGTTGGCCCTGGTGTGAGGCGTCCACTCCGAGAACCTGTTCTCCTCAATGTCCCAACTCTGCAGGCCTTGAAGACTGGAGACGATGTACTGTAAGAAAAGACACAACCCTTCAATTATACCCTGACAGTGTCTCAAAGTTATCAAATGCAACATTGCCATTCAATTTATTCAAACCAAAGTGGATGTTTTTTTAAAGTGAAATGTCTGATATAGATAGACGTTACAGCAGTGTTCATCTGTACTATTTATTTTTTTAACACCTCCACAACAAAATCAGGGTTTTTTTTCTTTCAATTTTCTTCCTTTTATTAAAAATAACATTCCACTTTTCGACTGATGTTGACTATCCAACAAAGACTTTAGGGGGAGGTGAATTTGGGGCAGACATTTTGTTAATTTCTGAAATATTTACTCTGTCACTTTTCAGAATTGGAATATATCATCTTAGTATCTAGTTCAGAAATCTAAATTAAATGGGGCAGTCTTGAATTCATTATGAAGGTTTTATTTAAAGATGCATTTCCCGTGCTATTTTGAGTTTCACCTCGAAAAATATATGAATGGTTTTTTTTCAATTCCTTCACGCATTTTCCTAGCACTATAAAGGTTAATCACTTTTGAATGAGACATCCATGAAAAAAATCTACCAACGTTTACTTAGTGAATTATTTCCGTACAAAAATTTAATTATTTGCGGCCTGACAACAGACAACAATTCAGCTCACAAAGAGTGGGTTCATTTGTGTGAAAAATGAAAGTCATTTTTTTTCAGAGGGTGCTACACCCAAACTCAAAAAAAAAAATCCATAGAAATTAAACAAAAAATTATGAGCACGGGCAGACATCTTTGAACATTTAAGAAGCTAGTATTCAACTGTTTTGTTTTGAAAAACCACTCAATTTCAAAAGTCACAACCCAAGTTTCTTGACATTACCTGTCTAACTTCAGCATTTCCTGGCGTTCCTGGAACCCTTTCTTTTAGGATAGGATCTAGCCTTTCAGGGCCCATAAACCGATCGATGTCAGTCAACGCTGCAATCTCACGGAGTTTGGACTGGGTCAGCTTTTTAGGCTTGTGCTCCAACTGCAAGACAAAAATGAAAACAATAAATTTATGATTAAAAAACTTGGCAAATGTTCTGTCTTGCACTTTGATTTTTGAACTAAATTCAATTGTTTTGGGGTTTGTTTTTCAAAATTGAACAATAAAATTGACTGGAGCTGGGTTTGAACCTGTGACCTCCAGATTCTCCGTTCCTGTGCTCTACCAATTGAGCTATCCAGCCCTACATGTACATGTACGTTGGCTGTTCCTGATTTGTCAATGGCTTTGCTCAAGGGCTGCTAGTCAGAAGATACAAGTATAAACACGTAAATGCCATGTAGCCAGGGATCACGCCCAGGGATCACGCCCAGGGATCACGCCCAGGGATCACGCCCAGGGATCACCCCCAGGGATCACCCCCAGGGATCACCCCCAGGGATCACGCCCAGGGATCACGCCCAGGGATCACGCCCAGGGATCACGCCCAGGGATCACTTGGAGAGGATGCGGCTTGTTATTGGGTTGAACAAAGAAAACTGGTCTGAAAGTGGATTTGAACTGTGAACCCTAGACTGGCGTAGTGGTGCTCCACACTCATCTACATTTATTCAGCGCCTCCAAGGGGAAGGGAAATTAATTTTGGTTCAGAACAAAAATGGACAGAAAAAGCTATCTTGCCTATAGGCTACAGTGTTTGTGTCCCCTGCTACTTGTACGTATGTGTACATTTGTGAGCTTTCCTACATTTAGAATGTTTTGAGAGTTCCACGTTTTCCGATGAATAAAAGTCTGCGAAACGGAGTATAAACTATTTGGTCTCCTCCTTCACAATAGCTCTAACTCCTGTTGAATACTGCATGTACTAGGATACAATAAATAATAAGGTTATTCAGTGCTCAGCGTTACAAATGTAGGCTGGTGGTGCCTAACGATGAGCACTGTATAACCTACCGTAGTCTAGGGGCTAGACGTTGTTATTGTTTGATACGGGATAACCGGCCATCGCTAGAGGGCGCTATCACGACCAACCAATATCGCCCACGGACATATACCTGTACATAGCAACCTCTAGGCTAATTCCTATTGCTTGTGTAGTGCCCGCGCCCGTGTTTGGCCCAATATATGCAGCGCGCAATTCAAAAAAAATCACAGTAGCTCCGAAGCAAATTCTCAAATTTCTTCCAGTACTATAAAAGATGCAGCAAGACATTTGTGCAACTTCACTGGTCAGCTCTTTTGTTGTGTGTAGTGTAGTGTCCCGATAATACATGTATATGCATTACACGCAATGTTTACAGTGCTATGCAAATGAGACCTATGTAAATTAGATTGACCTCTAGGGGACATTATGGGATAGCGGCATGGTCGAGAACCGGGAATAAAACGCTCTGGAGACAAATCATTTTCGTATTCAATTCGCACTTTTGAGTTCAATCCGGCTTCACAATAACACTACAATTGGCGACGAGGATACTGGACAATTCAGGATAATCATGAAGAATCTTTTGGACGCATTTGACTGAGATTTTCCGATTTAATTCGTGTGGAAAAGTCATGGAACTCAGCAGCAGTGACGTGAGTCAAGTCAAATGGTTCAACCCGCACGGCGACCCAAGCAATGTGGGAATCGCGTGGCAGCGATGGCTGCGTAGCTTCGAGCTGTATGCAGTCGGACGAGGGGTGAAAAATGCCGAGCAGAAACGAGCGTTGTTGCTACACTTTGCCGGGACAGAAGTGCAGGATATCTTCTTTTCCTTGGAGGAAGAAGAGGGGTCAGACGCCTACGAGAAATCAAAGAAAACCCTGAGCAAACATTTTCAGCCGAAAATCAACGTGCCGTATGAGCGGTATTGCTTCAGGAGCATGGCACAGGAGGACGGCGAGTCGATAGAGCAGTTCATCGTACGGCTGCGGCAACGAGCTGTTCGCTGCAATTTCCAGAATGCAGACGAGGAAATTCGTGACCAAGTGATTGAAAAATGCAGATCACACAAGATCCGTGCCAAACTGTTGATCAAAGGACATGATCTAAAGCTGGATGACCTGAGGACAATCGCGGCGACAGTCGAACTAACGGATAAACAAACGAAACAGATGGACGCCGGAGCACACGGGCCACAATGCGGGAGTAACACCCACGGAGCTAGCGCCAACGTGAACGCTGTGCAACATGGAACTCGTACAACGGGAACACGCGCACAACAACACAGGGAGGGTTTTCGGTGCGGAAGATCCGGACATTTTGCAAGGGATGGCAGCTGCCCAGCAAAGAAGCAACAGTGCAACAAATGTGGACTTGCCGGACATTTTGCGTCTTGCTGCAAGACTAAAAGAGAAACTGGCAAAAGTCATGACGGAAAAGTAAACACGGTGGACAATGAAACTGACTCGGACTCAGACTCTTATGCATTTCATGTAGGAAGTGTTGATGTTAATCGAGTGAATTCTTGTTCCACAGACAAATTGCAAGTGTGTTTGGGTAAGCAGAAATTACCAGTAGATGTTATTGTTGATAGTGGGGCCACAGTGAATCTCATTGATGCAAAGTTGTGGGAAAGTTTGAAGAAACAAAAGATTACATGTAAATCTGAGATAACCACAAAGAAGTTGTATGCATACGGAGCTAACAAACCACTAGATCTGTTGGGTAAATTCAGTACAGTAGTTGCCGTGCAGGCAGAGGGTACTAAAAGTTGTGAAGTTTATGCTGATTTTTATGTACTCAAGGGTGCAGGGCCAGCATTGTTGGGGAGAGAAACAGCAGAACAACTGAACATATTGAGCATTGGAGTCAATTATGTCGATGATGTGCGTACAGAGTACAAACAGTGTTTTGAAGGCATTGGGAAACTGAAAGGTTATCAGTTGAGTTTACACATAAACAAAGATGTGCAACCAGTAGCTCAGAGAATGTATAGAGTACCGTATAGTATGAGACAAAAGGTTAGTGATAAACTAGATGAGCTAGAGTCTCTAGACATTATTGAGAAAGTGCAAAACCCAACATCATGGGTCAGTCCTGTCATTGTGGTGCCAAAGCCAAATGGGGACATTAGGTTGTGTGTAGACATGAGACAAGCAAACAATGCAATCATCAGGGAGCGACATCCAATCCCCACTGTCGATGAAATATTGTATAACATGAATGGGGCAGAAGTGTTTAGTAAGTTGGATTTGAAATATGGCTATCATCAAATTGAATTGGATGATGAGTCACGTGACATCACAACATTTGTGACACACAAAGGGCTGTACAGATACAAACGGTTAATGTTTGGGATCAGTGCTGCACCTGAGAAATATCAGCAGGTGATTGCACAAGTTTTCCATGACTGTGACGGTGTTCAGAATATTTCAGATGACATCGTAGTGTATGGTAGGGACAAGCAAGAGCATGACCAGAGACTGAGACGGGTCCTGGAGCACCTGAAGGGGGCAGGACTTACTCTGAATCCAGATAAATGTGAATTTGCAATGGAGAGGATCACATTCATGGGGCATGTCTTGTCACGTCGTGGAATAGAGCCAACAGAGGGACGCATCAAGGCCATGAAGAATGCCAAACAACCGACAAATGCAGCAGAGGTGAAGAGCTTTCTTGGGTTGGTAAACTTCTCTGCGAGGTACATCCCAAACCTGGCTACGCTCACAGAACCGCTACGTAAGCTGGTGAGAAAGAATGAGCAGTTTGTATGGGGTCCAGAACAGCAGCAGAGTTTTGAGAAACTGAAACAGTGTCTAACCGATGCTGACACTCTGGGGTATTTTAGACTGGATGCTACAAAGACGCAGTTGGTGACAGATGCAAGTAATGTGGGACTAGGTGCGGTCTTACTGCAAGAATACGAGGGTCAAACACGAGTTATTAGCTATGCTAGTCGTATGCTGACTGATGTGGAGACGAGGTATTCGACAACAGAAAAGGAGGCATTAGCAGTTGTATGGGCGTGCGAGAAATTCCATGTATATTTGTACGGTATAGAGTTTGAGCTTGTAACAGACCACAAACCACTGGAAGTGTTGTATGGTCCGAAGTCACGACCCAACGCGAGGATAGAGAGATGGCTTTTGAAGTTAATGTCGTACACGTTTAAGATTCAGTATCGACCCGGTAGAGAGAACATCGCTGATGTGTTGTCTAGGCTGGTGGACACAAGCACTGCAGACAAACCTAGCAGATTACAGATGCAGGCAGAAGAATATATTCGTTTTGTTGCCAGGGAAGCAACGCCCCGAGCAATATCGACGAGAGAAGTCGAAGAAGAATCGAAGATTGATGAGGAGCTTGTTGCTGTGCGAAAGTGTCTCAAGGATGACCAGTGGAATAAATCCAGTGTGAACTTTTGTGCAGTGAGAAATGAGCTGAGCTGCATTGGGTACCTAGTTGTTAGGGGAACCAGAATTGTCATTCCAAAGAAGTTGAGAATGAAATGTGTAGAATTGGCTCATCAGGGACATCTGGGAGTAGTTGGTACAAAGCAGACACTCAGAACCAAAGTATGGTGGCCTCAGATGGAAAAAGATGTTGAGAAGTATGTCAGATCATGTCATGGGTGTCAAGTTACTGGAGCTATGCCAAACCCAAAACCACTGAAGCCTACACCGATGCCAACTGCAGCATGGCAAGATTTGGCCATTGATCTGATGGGACCACTGCCGTCGAAGCATTATGTTTTCGTGGTAGTTGACTACTATAGTCGTTTCTATGAGGTGGAAATCATGAAAGATACTTCAAGTGAACGTATCATCGAGGCCTTAGAGAACATGTTCAGTCGTTATGGCCTTCCGAGATCCATCACATCAGATAATGGACCACAGTTTCGGTCTGAGATTTTTGAGAAGTACTTGGAGGGTAATGATATTAGACACAGAGCTGTAACACCCCTCCATCCGGCAGCAAATGGTGAGGTCGAGAGGCAGAACAGATCACTGATGAAACGCATTCGAATTGCTACGGCTGAGTCTCGCGACTGGAAGACAGAAATCCGTACTTACCTGTTTGCGTATAGAACAACGCCTCATGCAACCACAGGGGTTTCGCCAGCAGAACTGATGTTTGGACGAAAACTAAGGACAAAACTTCCACAGTTGGAGGTCGACAGTCGAGGTCTTGACGAAGAAGTACGAGACAGAGATGCTACACAGAAATACAAAAACAAGTTGTACATAGACGACAAGAGAGGAGCAGCGGATAGGGATCTCCAGCCAGGGGATTCAGTTCTGTTGAAACAAGCGCGTCAGGATAAACTGACCACTCCATTTAAGACAACTCCTTATACACTGGTCCAGAAAGAAGGGAATAGTGTAACAGTACAATCCCCAGCAGGTGTAAGATACAAAAGAAACAGCACACATGTTAAGAAGTACAATACACTAGAACATGACAGCAATCCAGAACATGAAAATGTTCCAGAACACACAGGGTCATCATGTGACTCATCCCAAAACACAAAAGGGGAAGAGGGAGAAAATCTGGGCCCTGTTGAAACACAAATTGGCTCTCAAACTGCCAGACCTGTGAGGGAAAATAAGGGACCTCCCAAATGGTTGGATGACTTCATTGTGTATAAGTAAACATGTAGTTTTCAATGTTCAGATGCATCATCAAGTTTTGAAATGTTAAACAAAAAACAAAAAATTAAGTTGTGTTGCAAAAAGCTAAAATCCAGTTGGAAGCATGGATTGTTTACTTAAAGCATGTTACGAAAGTGTTTATTAAAATTTAAACTAAAGTGATTAAAGTAAACTGCAAAATGACATGTTCAATACATTCTAGGATCCTTGGAGCACAAAACTTCCATTTAGAACAAAATAAGTGAATTTTCTCTTAGAATGGTAGTAAATAGGTTGTTTAACTCAAGGCCAATCTGGCGGTCACATTCCATACTAAAATTGCAAGTGATCAGAATTTCTCTGCGTGCTGATTGTATTAATCACTTAGGAAAAGTTACATTGTTGATGTTAAAGGATAATTTTGTCAACTGAGTGTTCTTCAAGAAATACACGTAGTTTGACTTCTGATATTGTCGCACCCCGGATATCTTGAATGTTCACCTTGGCTTATTCAAATCTTTTTGTGTCACATGATTTAACAATGTTTGTTTAAATCTAAAGAAAGGGGGAGATGTAGTGTCCCGATAATACATGTATATGCATTACACGCAATGTTTACAGTGCTATGCAAATGAGACCTATGCAAATTAGATTGACCTCTAGGGGACATTATGGGATAGCGGCATGGTCGAGAACCGGGAATAAAATGCTCTGGAGACAAATCATTTTCGTATTCAATTCGTACTTTTGAGTTCAATCCGGCTTCACAATAACACTACATGTAGTACAAAAATGTATGTGTGGGACTGAAAATGGTCCGTAATTGCCTGTAGAAGTCGCGCATGCCCACTAGTTTCCCCCATTTTTGGGGGGGAGATTTTAGGAGACGTCCTGGAGGTTGCTACTCTCCATGGGCGATATTGGTTGGTCGTGATAGCGCCCTCTTGCAGCGGCGGGTTATCGCGGCGGCGGGTTATATCAAATTTACCATAACAACATCTAGCCCCTAGACTATGTAGAACCTTATTTCTTATTGTCTACTCCAGTTCCAGTGCTACGCAGCAACCTCTTTTTCAATGTACCAGTGTACATGTAGTGGGGATATATATCCTATCAAGGAGTTTAGCACATTGTATTTTACAGATATACAGATACCGTAGCTACGGAGTTGTTGCATAAACCATACAGGCAAATTCATGTTTACTCATGTTACACTTTGAACACCAATTTGTTGCCATTTGTCGTGGTTTTTAAAACACAATTATTAGGCCTATTGCTGTGTCATTCATTGTTTTTTTGTTTTTTGGGTATTTTTTTTACAGAAACACAGCCTATAGAACAGGCGTCAATCTAATGATACTGCGAACAAATAAACAACTCAAATTTGAACACAATGTTGTTGAAAACTGGTTACTGGAATTACGCAAATTGAACAGGCTGAAAATATATGGCATACATGTACTTCAATTCAGAGGATAAGCCAAAAATATCGATCTCCGTTCAAATGTTTTGAATAATCCATTACACTTATCGTTTTGAAGTATAGATTATTAATATTATTAATGTATAACCGTTATTCAGAGTAATAAAAATTAATTACTGGCAATAAAAAAAACAATTATAATATACATTAAAAGCAACGTATTAAAGGACAACTGGGAAAATGTTGGTCATATACCGGTACTCGCATTATTACTTGCATTATAAGCTGAAGAGCTACGGAATATGTACTTACACATTTAGATCTTTTATGAACTTGTTCTTTTCCAACAATTGTAAAAAAAGAGAGATGTAACACAAAGCATAGGGTCTCACGACCAGTTAAAAAACACTACCAAAACGCCGAGCAGCGTTTTTTCCAACTAATTTTCATTGTTGTATCGTGTGCTTGGATACCGGTACTTCATTGGTCGAGAACGGCGTACGTGTCCAGTCAGTAAAAATGCTTACATGTACATGTACATACAATGGTTAACCTTACATGTATATAGCCTACAATGTACGGAAAGATTTCCATATAAGAAGTTCACTAATTTTCCTCTGTATTGACTAACAAGCCCCCAGATAGCAATTTCATGTCATCAAAGTCAATTTGAGCAGTGAGAAAATACAAGCATTTTCTTAGAAAACACTTAGAATTTTTCAGTCCAATCTCATAGGGTTTGTACCAGTACACAGGGTGTTGAGTGAACTTCGTATATGGAAATCTTTCCCAATGCATGTTGCTCGGGCATGTAGAACCTGCATGAGCGCTCGGGACTGAGAACCCATGGGATGGGTTTGCAACCCCCCAGTCTCATGTCTTGCAGGAAAGCCAGCAGTTACTAAAGCTTAGTTACATCACACTGATTTTAATTTATTTCTTGCATTGTAAGTAAACAACTATTTATCGTTTTGACTATTGGCACGATGTAACGAAACAATTGTTGACTGCTGTGATGTGAGATTATGCCTCGGGGCGCATAGCACCCCTGGCTTCACGTCGAGTGCCATACATGTATGCACCCCTCGGGTGTTAAAAATGGCATATCCCACATCACAGCTCAGTCAACATATCAGCCATTTCGGTATTTCAACTGCGCATGTGCACAATGATATGGTCGATCACGGGTCATTCGGGATAATCGAACGTTTCGAAGGCGCATGAATGCGGGCGCACGACGCTTGCGTGTAAATTACAATGTACCAGCAGAATGAGCGTGCGGGTAACATGGCGTAACATCACATCAGGGATATTATCCCAAATGACCTCGGGTCATTCAAATACCGAACTGACTTACATGTATTGTTAAATGACTGACCATCAACAAATACATACGTGTATATGGTGAGAAAATACATGTACATGTAGCAATAGGGTGCTGCATTTTACCCTAGTTTTTGTGCCTAATTTCACCTTTGCCTGCAAAATACTGTGAAATTGTAATACCTTTTGCTCATCTAAGCTTAGCACTGGGGCCGCTGTGGAGACTTGAAGCATATCATCTAAGGCATCAAGTTCCTTGAGGATGTCACCATCGCAACCTTCCTGCTCCCCATGACCTGCCGGGATGACCCCCAGCAGGAGCAATGTCACCACTACCATGGAAGACATGGTGAGGACCACCACTAAACTAAAACTGCAGTAAATAAGTCGTCTCTTCCTACACAGCGGGTTTCTGAGTTGGTTCTGAGTCGTCGCTTCACTCACATGTACTCCCATAGCACTCTATCTCTGCATTATAGCTGTATTCAACAACTTGTTGGCTCTGTACACATGCACATATAGATTTGTGGTGCAACATTACACAGTGTACTAACGTTGTTTGCAACTCTCACTTTATGTTGTGTACATGTACATGTATCACTATATCAAGCACATACATGTACGTAGCGAGCATTTACAATTTTGGGTGGTTTTTTTTTGGTAGCAATAGCAGCAAAAAGCAACAGGCTCCAACAGCTAAAAATGTAGCATACTCTATCAGATGTCAGTGAAGTTACCACTGACAAATTGTGTCTGCAACAGGAAGCCTTCTTAGATAGCAAATATAACCAATTGGCTAACCATTGGCTAATGTGTGTAGTTCTGAAGTAAGTTGCATCCAGATGAATTTACATTAACAATTGTTCTAAACACGGTGAAAATATCACTCAGCACCAGTTTGTCATGGTTGATTTCACATCAGATGGGCATATTCACTATTACACATTCATATGATATATGTCCTCCAGTGCGCCACTGCTGACATCACATATTGTTGGTTGGTATGCAAAGTTTAGAAGCACGTACATTTGTACATCAGCACAATCTGTTACTGTGTCGTTGGCATGATACAATCCGTTTTGCAAAAAGTGTACAATCCAGATTCAACCAAGGTACATCCCATAAGATTTATGCTGTGGTGTGGCCTCAATACCAGTAAATGGCAGTATGACAACAGTCCTCAATCCTGGGTTGATATAAAATGGGGACAGACTCTCCCTGGCACTCTGCACAATCAACAATGACAAGCAGAAATCCTAGGTGCAATTGATCTGTACAGGACGAACTCTCCAGCAAACTTTGACTATGTGTATGTGTGTATTAATACCATTATGTTTGATTATTGAAGCTTGGCTGAGCTCTGTGTGTTCACCCAAAACGCTTTTGTTGACCCACTAGAGTTAGTTGCGTGTATGAACTTTAAAGGGGCACTTGAGTTCCTCTCTTTCGTTAAAGGTGCACACCTGATCCATAATTGTGGTTGTTCTGCTTTTGTTATGGTATTTTTTACAGTGGCAAAGCCAGGGAGGGGGGGGGGGGTGTGCAGAGTGGCATATTGCAACAGGATGGAGATTTTAAAAGCAAATTCGGGATGTTGAAAAAGAAAAATCGGAACGGTGAAAACAACTTAAAGCTATAGTCCATCATTTGCAGCCATCCGAAAAGTAACTGGAGTAATTATATTGTTGAAAAACATACTTGGTTGAAAGATAGTAAGGGGACTAAACTCCCTGTGAAATTATTCTTTCTGGCAAGCTGTCGTTTTGAAGTAATCATCGAAAGAAGGCCTTTCCAACGGTGCGTCTTAAGACGCACTGTAGGAAAATTTAAATTATTAAATTAGTTCGTTTTGTTATTCGGAGAAGCGTGCGCAAGCATTGGCACGACGCACACGGTTGCTATAATTTGTCGGATCAGTGCGCAACATCGCGTATAGCTGCAATCGGCTCAGTGAGAACGCGTCTCGGACGCTGAATTCAGCAACTTTTGATTTGAAATTGAGATCCGAGAATGCTGTTTTTCTCGGAATATACAGCTGAAGCTGAGCTGAAACTTCATCAGGTTAGTTGTTCAGTATCCTTCATTAGATTTTGAACACTTTTGTTGCTTCAAACGAACAAAATGCACAAATTACAAATGACGGACTATATCTTTAAACAGGACAAAAATTCTATTCTGAAATGGGCAAATAAAACCCTGGCTGTGCGCCTGATTTTTTTACTCCACATTTATATACAGTTTTGGTCAGTGTCACCACAAATATGGTCATTCTATAAACCTGACAGCTCCAATTTATTTGGAAGCAATTAAATAAACTTAATTACAAATGCTCGGATGCAAATTGTTATCAAATATACCCTAATGTAAATACGCAACATTCAATAACAAATTGAAATCGAGGCTTGAAACACACGCCAATCATAAAATAGTCTGGCACCATCCCATTCAACAGTTCACAATTTATAAAATGGATTCAGGGAACATGATCGAAAATGGATTCCTCGTGAATTTTAGTCTATAGGCCACATTGTTAAGCAATTCAGGGTGCTATAATTAACATCATATTTCCTAGGTACAAACACTAGAAAAATCCCATTTATTGAAGCATATTGGCAACTTTACCTAAATCTAATAAAAAATAAAAGGAAAGAATGTTGCAACCTGACGCTGCTTTTTTCTTCATATCATCTCAATGAAGGTCGGTCATTGCAAAAATGACGACTATAAGACATGAATCTGGGACTGAGAAACATTTCCAATTTTGTTAGGAAAAAAAATTCTTGACTCTCCATAGACTTTGTACACAACCGCCGAAGTAGCGTCAGGTTGCAACATTCTTTCCAAATTAAAGACTGAAAAAATATAAATGTTAATTGTGGAAACATGAAACTTGTAACCTTGGACAATGTACGATTATTTACCCCCCCCCCCCAAAGAAAGTCATTTTTACAAATCTTTCATTCCCTGAAAAATAAGGCCTTTACCCCAGCATGTCGGCTTTCATCAAGCAGTGGCATTATCACTCAATCATTATTGCTGGTTACTGGTTAGGAATGACTCACTAAAAGTAGGCCCGCTGCTGGATCAGCCTTTATCCCCATGAAGGCAATTATCGATCGGACGAGGCTGGTAATGTACCCGCACTTATCCAACATCAAGTCCATTACGGATGACAGCACAAGCGAGAGGATTCGACCAAGAAAACAGGCCTGTATAACTGGGATGTCACGAGTGAAAAAAAAATGAACTGCCAAACTTGACAAGATAGACTCTCTGCAGGGTTTTTCAATCATAAATGGCATACAAGTGCAGTACAGGCACAGAAGAAGCAGCTAAACCAGGGAAAAGTTGCATTCTTGCTGAAAATTGCTATTTTTTTTGAGGAGCCGGGGGGAGGGGGGGGGGGAGAGGTTACGGTGTTTTTTTATGGAGGGGGAAAAGTATTTTAGTTTTTTATATTTTGGGGTGGGTTTTTTTTGGGTTACATCAAGGGTAGGGGATCTTTCTTTATATCTTGCAGATCGCAGTAGGCAGTGATGTGACTGATTAAAGGAAAGATACAACATTTGTAAACATCGCAAAACGAAATTATCAAATCATCACGAAAATATCTTACTAGATTGTTAGTGAATGACAGTATAAAGCATCCTGTAAATTCGTGGCTCCTGGTGTGCTGTAATTTTCAAGAAAAAATGGGATTTTTCCAACGCTGGTCAGCCAACCAGCACTGGAGAAAACTGCCTTTTCAAAAACTGCTCCTAATTTTTCCGTAATTAGTTATTCCGTGTTTTCTTTGCAATTGATTACACACCTGTGAAGGGGTACAAGCCTGCTGGACTGATTCTCTGACCTTACAATTTCCAAAAGTCTATAAATTGCTCCGTTTCATCTTAAGTGAGGTTAGGGAACCAGACTACAAGAAAATGATTGGTTTTTTTTGGTATTTTTTTGTTTTTCCAGCATCTATAAGCCCAAAACATGAAATAAGTCAGTTTAACAATATTTTCCATTACATACTAATCCTCCAAGTCCACCTATTTCTGAAAATTGCAGCAAAAGCATATGTTGTACATTCCCTTTAAACTGAAATTATGTGATGGTTTGGTTGTTTAAAAGTAATCAATTGTAAAATTACATTTGTCAAATTAGGGTTAATAAGAACAAAGCAATTTTCAAGTATTGTAACTGAACATTTACTGTTTTAAATCACAGCCAACAAATAAGCATTAGGCCCTTGATTCTTTTCAATGAAAAATTAACAATGGAACCGAAAAATTTCATATCTTGGCAAATTGTTCCCGCTTTTATTTAATGTGTGTCAAAATGTGCCCAACAAGACTTGGCATATAATATCAAGTCTGAAGTTGTGATATCTGACCAAAATATGTCAGAGAATTCACACCCCCCCCCCCCTCCCAGATCTTGTAAGGTAACAGATCTTCTTTCCACGGTATGTAAAACCTAGTTTTATTTGATAATTAGGCATCTTCAATTGATCGGTGCTTGCAATTTCTTTTTTTTAGAAAACAATGAAAAATATTCCTTCACGTGGTGGTGAAAGCAAAATTCTATGAATTCCATTTTTAAAAGGGAAATATTCTTTTTCTTTAACTTCATAATAACAAATAATTTTGAAATAAAAAACCTTGATTGCTCTTTCAGATTTTTTTCATGAACACTGTGTGAACACTCAAGCTTTTTGCATGTCTGAAAATATTGGGATGTTTTGAAAAGTTGTTTACAAAAATTAGTCCTTGCTTGTAAACGCAAACCGTGGTTTTGTACTCTGAGCCACATTGGCTGATCATGTAGATTTTATTTGGGTGAGAATCCTCTTAATCTTTTCATTTCAAAGTGAAAGCACATTGAATTGAACATCTGTGTAACTTAGCCATCCGAGTACATGTCTTTTTATTTCACTTTGTTGTTTACAGACACGTACAATGTTAGCACTGTATCCATCTCTGTTCTCTTTACACATATCAGTCCTGTTTTGAGGCGTGCGATCACACCCCCACGCCATCACACGCCTAAATGCTTCCTGAGAACTGCGAATAATCGCACGCCTGAATCCCTCAGTACCGCACACCTCGGCATACATTTACGACATAATTATACTTCATAATTTGTGAAAAATAAAGTATGTCGGTGAAGAGAATATGGCTTATATTGTAAACCAAGATGAATATTTTGAAAAACAAAGTACCAGACTGTACAGTCCCAGCTTGGACCACAGAATCACACACCAAAAAAAATCACACGCCTTGAAAAATTACACGCCTAGAAAAATTAAGGTGTGCGTTTTTCCACACACCTGTGATTTTCAAATCAGAAGGACTGACACATGGGATGTGGACTCTCATTCCACAGTATAAAATGAAATCATTGAACATCAGATTCTTTACCTTTTACCCCTCCCCCTCCTCCCCCCCCCCCCCAGGAGACAAACAATATTATCTTGTTTCTTCTTCCTTCTTTGCTAATTATCATCACTTCCATACCGATCACTCACAGTGCGAAATAACTGGCCACTAGGTTGCCTTTGGCAACCAAAAATCCATCCCGGAAACATGCGAAGGGTCAACAAAATTAGTTGATGAAATACATCGGTACATGTACCATATATAATCACGCAGATTTAACAGCATCTGTTTCACAAATTCATTTAATGCAACTTCTGAAAAATGGAGTTAGTCAATCCATTCTGAAATGATAAGATTTCTGACTTGACTCATGGTTGGTGGTTATTGCGGCAAAAACAGAGAGATAAAGAGAGAGGAGGAGATCGACATCTTGACAACCTATTAATTTGGACCACCATACTATACAAATATAACATGGTTTGAGGGTGGACAGTCGATATTCACTCCCTGAGGTATTGGACGTTGACAAACTAGTTACCGAGGCGAAGTTTGTCAACTTCCAATATCGAGGGGAGCTAATATCGACTGTCCACCCGAAATAAACCATGAATGTTATATTTGTTTTACTATACTATTTTACTATGATTACCGATTTGTTTTTTATATATGCACCTAAACAACATTTTCGGAGAAACTTGTTCAGCTCACAAAAGAACATTGTTGCTCACTGTCACTAGTTCGGTTCGTTTGCAATACAGTAACTACAGTTGTAAATACAGTTGTTTGAGTACAACTTTCTTTTGTACAGGAGGCATCTTTATTTTCCATAAATTTTCTCCAGTACAGCGTCATTTAGCTCGGGAAAATTAACATTTTACGCACAAAAGTATGCATTTCTCTTGGGGGATGTTTGCACGTGCGTACT